ACTAGAAAACTTAAAACAATCTTATACAACATGTTTGTTCTCTGCATCTAATGTTATTATTTATATCAAATTGATCATGCCTGCAAACTGGCGTGAATTCTGTAATTATTATTTTCAGAATATATTATTATCTACGAATTAATTACACAAGGAGCCTAAACTTTGAAGAACATACCTCCTCTATTATTTCTAAAGCTAAATGGTTAATCGGTTTCATAACGAAAAATTTCTTCACAACAGAGGCTAAGCTTACCCTTTACAAAATATATGTACGACATTCCCCTAAATACTGTTCTTTTATTTTCTCTAATGTGAACACCACTAACGAAATAAGAGTAGCTGTTCAAAGACTCTTCACACGCCAACTGCTGGGAAGTGAATCCACCCTGGATTACACAGGTAGATGTTAGTACCTCTTTTTAGAACCTTTGTGGCACCATAGGCTAAGGAACAATCTGACATTTCTCTAAAATGCAGTAAATGGACTCTCATTCCTAACCTCCTGCCCAACCATGATCCGGTCTACAGACTAGGAAACAAAACGTTTACACTATTTGCCGTAAAACACTGAAAAACAATGCGTTGTAAGTTTTTTTACAGTGGGGGATAGTTTACTATGGAGTAGGTTGCCAATACCTATCCGTAACTGTAACACTATCACCATGTTCAAAAGAATAACAGCCCTGTTGTTTGAAACTAAAGGGCTTTACCAATTATACCCTGAAATACCGACCACCAATGAGACACTTTGTTATGTACTGCCCATTATCTAGACAGATCATGAATATTTCGGACCCCCATTGTCATTAGTACGAATATAATCAAATGACAGAACACATAGTTGACTCTCTCCCATTATTCATTGATTATTAGTTATACCCTTACGCTACTAATCCTCACTTTCAGATCCCAAACCTCTCTATTGGTTAAAATTGCATTATTTTTACCGAGTTTCATGTCCTTTTTCTCCATTACAAGTATACAGATAACCCGCTAATCTTATGGATGCTGATCAACTATGGCCGATCATAAGAAGCTCATTTCACAATTCTAAACTCTTGCACATTCTCTGACCTACTATATATCCTTACCATCTCTAAACTACATATAATCTTACCTGTGTTTCATAACTTACACCACTGGTTATCTTCATGACAGTGATATACAAAATGGATGCCTAACCCACAATACAGAAGCTTTAACCATCTCATTTGCTTGCAACGTGGAACTGGTAGTTACAGTGCATTCCAACAAGTAGCTTAGATTAAAGCGATATTCACACACACCACAGACGAAAGAGAGTCTAACACTGCAAAAGGAGGGAGAGTGGCGTCACTGACCAGCAAACATGATGGTGAGGAGGTAACATCAATCCACTCATGTCTGTAGGGCGCAACAAGTTGTTGAATTACGCCTCCTTATGGTCAAGTGGGATGTCACTAACCAATCGTATTATAATGCAAAATGTATCCTTAAATCGTGTTTGACGTCGAATTGATTTCACTTCCTACCGAGTAATCTTATTGCAAGCAAAACTAGATAATTTGCTAAAAACCAAGCTTGCTCATTACCCTATAAAATCAATACGAATAAAAATGAACTGAAATTGCTTCAACAAAAAAGGGAGGCAACCATTTGTGTATCACAATACTGCTGTCAGTGCTATATTTCAAAACTACACATAATCCTATACTTTCAGCTTCTTTTTGAACCACCTTCATTTATACAGTTCTTAATCCACTCATACCTTCTACGTGCTTGTTTTCGAGGGGACTACAATTTATAGACGACCTCTGAACGAATCTTATGTGACTCTGATAAATATTAGCCAGCCGGAAAACAGTTAGTATAGAGTAAAAATATAATATACAAAACCAAGTAAATGAAGTAGATACACTTCTTTTACATGGTTCGAAAGCTTTTCAAGGTTAGAAAAAGGTTCGAAAATCGTAATGCATACGGGAGGAAAAATCATCCATATGTCTCCATAGTAGTCGACCTATAGAGCCATGATAAGATCGCAGAAAACTTTCAGTTTCGACCACAGAGTTTAAAAATCGTTTGTGTGCACTCCGGTTGTTGGGTCCAAACAATGCCACTTGTGGATAAAGACACGATGCACATAGGGAAGTCTATGTAAGCATCGGTACTCTCTTCAATCATAAGTATATATTGTAATACCCCATCGCAGTCAGTGTTGCTGGTGCTTTTGTTATCAAGTTCACAACAATCGTCATAATTTGCCTTATTCTCAATCTGGATCGAGCAAAAAATCCTATTGTAGCAGACTTCGTCCTCTAACACATATTTCATCGAAAAACATCATCACGGTAGTCCGCACAAGGTTCGCAAGCCATTTTGTTACCACAACCACAAATAAAAGAACTTCTCAGTAGTCCCATTTGTTAAAGTCGCTCAGTGATCACGTTTTCCCTAAAATTTTCTGTGAACCGATCGTACGTGAGCACCAAGCACTGAAATGGGCGCTGTGACCTTGAAACCCCTTAAAAGCCTCTGATTGGCCAGTCTATAAATTATAGTTTCGCCGTCATACCTTAAATATGCCTCCACAAATGTCTCAACTTCAATAGGCACGAATACTGTCTGCTTTGCTCCTCTTCCTCTCTTTTCTTTATACCTTCTTCAGCTTCTTCGAGATTTGCCACCAAAAACTCATATGGGACAGATGACTTCGATCAACGCCATAATTAATGTTGAGCGGCAGTTAAATGTCACTAAGCCCTAGCCAAATCATCCAGGAGTTGGTTCACTGAATATCGAACAAATCATCGATCCCTGTTCAATTCAAGGACAAAATAACGCACATCAGATGATCATACGCCATGGACTGGCTCATACGCTGTTAGTCTCATTAAAGTCTTTGTACTCATTCTTACTAATGTATTAACGTAATCACGTTCTTTGTGTTATACAGTCTTCAAAGCAGACATGGTACTTTAATACGTCGAGTGGAGTAATCCACGTTAGATGCTGACCGCAAGGTGTGACTTCAAAGTTAGCTTGTTCGTTACACCGTTCCTGTCTAACTCAAATAGGCATCCGATCGTTCGACATAGGTAATGAACGTTGTTGGTCTACAATTGCTTCGGATGTTCCAAAAGGATATAAGGCCACAGTTTATATAAGCTTTCAATTATGCATGGATTTACTCTCATCAGTTATACGTCGTAACGCAACGTTCATAAATCGTACCAACTGTCATATCGACAATATGAGTCTGACTAATATTATTTACATTCACATGTGGAAAGTGTTATCGCCTATAATTTTATGATCAGTGTACCCGTGTACCACCATAGTGAAGACTGCATCTTCTGTGACAATTTGATCTTGCCTGTAAACTGGCATACCTCATGTAACCGACTGTTATTTGAAAAATATTGTTATTAATAACATAAACTGGTAAATATTTGACATGTAGTTTAGTATCCTGGTAACGTAACAGCAATTATAGAGAGGATATATATGAGCAGGGAAGAACATGTAATGTGTTGAACGACAATTAATATTGGGTGTGTACCTTCGAAAGGAGGTCAACAAGTCGATACACACACTATTTTACACTCGATACTTTGAATTATGTAAACTAGATGAGGTCGTAAAATACATAAATTATGACAAAAATTATTCACAAATTCAGTTTGAATTAATCAACTAATAATCAGTACAGTAACTTGACAGACAATTTAAAGAAAGCTAGATTAAGGAATCTCTTTTGTAGCTTATGATTAAGTATACGTGGCCACTTGATTTCACTTCATGTACAGATAAGTTGTAGGCATTTTAAGCATGACAGTCGTACCCACTACATGCCGGATGAAGAACAGGTATTCAAGCAATTACATTTTTGTGTTTGTAGTTCGAAGGATTTGTTTGACGCTGAACATGTTGTTACCGTCTATTCTAAGCATTTTCTTTGTCATTATCAATGTGGTCGGCGTCAGTCCTGTGAAGACAGCTGTTCATACAGGATTGTACTAATACTGTTCAGTTATTCCTAATGGTATGAATGACTGTCCAAAGGATGTGAAACGCGAAGTGAAAAGCAGACCAGTAAATCAGGTTACTAATTTTTTCAAGTACCCTTCTTCTGATTTCCGATCAGATTAATGTTCGCCACTACTCGGTTATGATCATTTTCCGATAACCCAAAAAAAGGTCACATAGATTTTCAGAAGTTTGATGAATCGAGTGTCAGTGTTGTGTTTGATAGAGTTTAGGGACCTAGATTCTATTTGGTATTTCTCCATGTTCGCAGCAATGTATTGTTGAGGCTATAGAAGTGCAAGGGCCAGAAGCCGCAGATATATTTCTGTTTAGGTGTGACATATGACGGATAATTATATAAGCATTGACATTGATGAAAAATCTATACGTATTGTTGATGAATTAGTAATGCTGGGAGCGCGTATTGAGCTGCCCCCACTGCGCTATCGATTCCCTGACATTCTGCATTATTTTGATGCTGATTCGCATTATCTTCACACTCTGGATTAGCATTCATTATTGACTGACTAGTATTAGACGAATTTGTACCCAGAAGTGCCCAGTCATAAACAGTCGAGAACAAAATTGAGGCTTTGAAACAAACGGCGGAAAATTCCTCTTAAAAATACATAGTCCGGAAGGCTGTCAAAAGCTAGACCACGAGCGAAATGCAAATATTTTTCGAATTCTACAGGATAACCTTCACGCAGTGTTAAGTCGGAGCAAGAGGCTCATTAAGAGCCCCAACCAATCAGCGATTAATTAGAAGCTATGCTACTAAAATAACGAGATCCTGTTTGGCTGTTTAACACACTGCTACTATGGAAACTCAAGGTCCCCTAATTACTATAAAACCCCTGTATTTTCTGTACACAAATGAATCCTGTAGTAAAGCGCTTCCCACATACTTTGGGCCTTTTCTCTGGTCTTCAAGTCAGTGTATTGTTCTAGCTCGGGGGTACGGAACTAGATTAGGGAGGCGAATATAGCGTTCACAACCGGCCAGACGTAACACATAGGGCTTCAAGTGACGTAGCTAGTTTCTTCTCATATATACGTTCGTACTTTTGCTTTTTAGTATTTGCCTGAAAAATTAACATTTTGAGCAACAATTAGGACAAAAGCACCATATGGATGGATTCAAATGGTAACATCTAGTAACACTACAATAGACAGCATGAAAGCTTAGACGAAATTTTCAAAAATCTTCAGGTAACCAGTTGGAAGATAACAGTTGCCCACAACAGGGGACCTAAAGGTGGTAGGCTACATATTGGCATATCTATTGTCGTCAGGTGAACAGAGATGGCTCAGTTAGGTTTAAATTTATCTGTACTTCTCTAAACGGACTTTTACACAAGCAGAGCAACCTAGTTGTTATAGAAAGTTCATCCGTTCAGCTATATAAACACAACCATTGAGTTCTGAATTAACAACTAGTTTAAACGCGAGCACGGATAATAGGGGGCGGCCAAATCAAAACGTGGCATCAGTCCATGAAGTCACTAACTTCTGGTCTGAGCCATGTCGGCAGATGCAGACTACTTGGTTAGGGTCCGCGCGACTATCTTAATGAATGGTTGGAGACTCTGTGTGACATGGCTCAGAATCGATCACAATGGCGCAAGTGTATACACTCTTTATCTTCCCTTAAACTACGAGATTAAAATTGCTTCATATCTTTTTTCCTGTACTATATCCTTATATACAACCTATCTTTTATATACTACCACCACTAAATTAACTATTTCTATGAATCCGGTGTTCATCTTATTGTGCTAACGAGGTATGGCAACTTGGACCGATGCATATGTGAGCCTGGTCCTACGTTGTAGCTGACTAATATACATAAACAGATCATATTGCTACCAGTCATCGACAGACTGCCGCATGATCTCGAGCACTTCTTTGCAATACTTTCAACTCTAGTGAAGACAAACAATTTCATATGTTTGCTAGATATCAAGACCTCTTAGTTATCAACTCGAAAATGAAAAGGTCAAGAATGGATTCAAAGTCAGCTGAACACTTATTTGATTATGAATAAAAACTCGACCCTAACGTCCGATATGATGTAAATAAAGCAGTGATATCTGTTACCAACTTAAATTAAAAGGCTAAAATAGACCATTGGGTTTCAGAAACTTCCATTGAGTCGGAAGTTGCTAAAACATTTATGCTGGCAGACTACCAGGACAATTATAGAACGACAACATAACGTATACTAACGAAAATTTTGCCCAGTAATTGTGAGTAGGGTTTGGTAACGGAAGTAAAACTGAAGGTAGTGATGTTAAGTGACAATAAACAACTTTTTCAATTCATTGTGGAAACAGGTGTTAAGAATTCAGTTGTTGGCAAAACTATTCTGGGGAAAAAACGGATGAGAATGATGGACGGAAAACAGTTCAACTGGCTTACAGATAACCCACCTGTTACGCGCTACTTTTAAACAACCTGAACTGAATAAGATAAGTCCCCCAACACTTAACGACATTGAAACGACTGTCTAACGTGAAGCGATGAAGAGCAACAGGAATTGATAGATTAACAGCAGAGGTTTTTAAGAATGGTAGTCTAGTTCTGACAGGTTGAATGACATATTAGCTGGAAGCACCAGATAAATTTTTTATTTAAACACATAAATATTGGTACAAGGAAGCACCAGATACATATGCGCCTCACAAATCTCATTAGATTTGTGTGAGGGCTGTGATACTGCCCAGGTGCTCAAACTGAAGCAGATGGTTTTCTTAGGGGGCCACACCCGGGGCCTTCGACCTAAAGGTCTGATCCACAAGGCAGTGGGGCATTGTGAGATGTAGTCCCATGGTAGCCGGTGACCGACGATTGATTTATATGCCATTTGTTTTCTTAGGGTATTGGAGCCCATGTGCGCCATTGGTTTGGAATCAGGGTTTTTCAACTCCCCTCAGTGGACTTGCAGTGTCCGCCAACCCTGTTAAAGCGCCGGACATTAGCTTCCCGTCCTCTCAATTTCGTAAACAACATCGCCACAAGAAGGCAGTGAGTAGGACATCCCTGACAGAGGCTATATACGCGTGGCGATGTGAGAGCATTTGGAGAGGGAGAACGGACTCTCCCCACTCTCGACCGTACCAGGGCATTTGGGGGCACATTAGCTGGAGTTTAAGGGATAGGAGTAATTCCGTCTGGTTGTCCCAGTAGCTGACCATCCCAGTTTAATAATAATGTAAGTATCAATTCGACTTGTTTAAAATATGGACCTCAATCGTCTGGAGCTTGCGAACTTTGGAAAAACTAAAATGGTCTTAAACCTAGACGTGGATGTACAGTCAGTCACAATGTAGAACTTCGTACGTACGTACATCAGTTCGAGTTACCATACCACATTAGCACAGAGATGCAGTTGTCGATTCAAATCCCATAGTGGAAGAAGTAGTAAGAGTATAAGCGTTATGTGAAAGATTAGGGTTTGAAGATGTTATTGAAGGAGTATAATAGAGTAAAATAAATTTGAAGAGAGAAAAAAGATATGGATATGAAGAATTCAGAAGATTAGAATTTGGGAGAACACAAAGAGCGGATGCACCTTCGCCATTGCAAACGATTTTGAGCCATGTCATTCAAGGTCTCTAACCATCGGTTGCTAACATCTCGCGAATCCCAACCAGGTAGTTTACACCTACCAACATAGCTCAGTCCACTTGTCGGCGACTTCATGGATTTATGCCACGTTTTGGTCTGGCCGCCCCTAGCTTTCTTCCAACCTACTCCTACACCATGAAACATTGCACGTCGGGGCAGTCGGTGGTTGGGCATACGTAACACGTGTCCCAGCCATCTCAACTGATGAAGTTTCACTACTTCATCAATCGATGAGCTCTGTTTTGTCACCAACTGTATGCTTACCTCAATCGTCTTAATTATTTTATCAACTGTTATTATTCACTTTTAATAAATTCCGTCATTTCTTCTGTTCTCTTTGTAAGGTTTGGTAACCAAAAACGTCAAAATAGTTAAGCTTCTACGTTTTTTGTATTTAAGACGCACATGTTGGCATGGGTTAGTATTCTATGTCTGGTCTAAGAGCTGTTTACTTAGTTAACCTACATTCCTGTTAATATCTTGGCGATCAACCTAAAAACGAGGCGATAGATATCATATGAGAAGTTGTGAGCCACAAGATTCTCGGTTACGGTGTAACAAATCGCGAACGAAAGATCTAGGTTTACTAAGAAATCTGAGATGCAGTGTTTTACTAAAAATAAGGTCGTAACTCAGGATAAAAGTAAACAGAAACAATGATTTTCCAGGGTGTGGTTTCCTTTTATACATTGATTCACGAAGCAGGAATTCGGTGGGATTTTAACAACGCTAACACTAAGTAATCGGCAGACAGTGAACTTAATGAAACCGAAAAGGTATTGCTTCTAATTAAAGACTAATACTATCTGAAGTGTGGTAGCTACCAGTCAAAGACGAAATAAGAGTGGACTACAAACTTGATTAACTAATTCATACTCAGCTTAGTCAGCCTTAAAAGTTTACCATAGAAAATAACATGACAATTAATTAACCAAACATTTTGGTAAAAAGTCGTAAAATTTCCAACGTACCTTTAGTCCTTGCCACGGAAGGTGTCCTCTGAGAAAATACATAAAGACATATCCAAGAGATTCAATATCATCACGTCTAGATTGTTCGATACCAGCATGTGCATTTATGCTAGCATAACGTGCTGTACCCGTTAAATTCTTATCATCCCTATATGGAATATGGCATTTCGTTCTATGATCTCTGAATCTTTTGGCTAATCCAAAATCTACAATGAACACTCTGTTGCAGTGTGGACCGATCCCCATCAAGAAGTTGTCAGGCTTGATGTCCCTATGAATAAGACCTCTGTAATGAACACATTCGATGCGCCACAACATCTGTTCCGCTAGAGTTAACACCGTTTTTGCTGAAAATCTACGTCCACAAAAAGTAAATAAGTCTTCAAGACTTGGACCGAGTAAATCCATAACCATGGCTTTGTAACGATTACTTACACCGTCAGGTCCGAACCAATAAACCCGCGGCACTCCTGATGAGTTCTGAGAATACTAGTGGTGAATCTATTTGGCATACTTGTAAAACTCGATAAACTCGGCTCTCGTAAAGCAGTTGAGGATGTCGGGCAGTCACAGGCTCTAATTTAATTGCAACTTCATCCCCAGTTAACATATTTTGTCCAAGATATATATCACCGAATGAACCACCGCCTATTTTTCGTACAAGTCTCCATTTGCCTCCAATCAGAGCATTAGCACTCAAAGAGACCTTCCTTGACTCCATCTGCAAAAATCCGACTGACTAAATGCCTCCAAAAGTCCAAGACCAGTGGCGTAAACGATTTGTTTGTTAAAACAAAAGTATTTTGATACAATAATGATTATGAAAACAAGGAAAATATACATGGTGATCTGCTTAGAAAATTGTAAAAAGACAACTATATTTACTATGTAGCACTGAGTGCAGTCTATAAACTCTGTAAAGGTTCGATTCGTGATGTTTGCAGGGATATTCAACATAGACATATTTTGTAACTAGTCTTCGTTATTATTCGAATTTCTCATTATTTCTCATACTTCTCACCCTTTTCCAGGCTGAACACTATGTTGTGATGCAGAACAGCAGCGGCATCTAAGGTGCTTCTTTTGCATTTGTAAGCAAACTGATATGGATCAATGTGCTCTTTTATTGCAGGTTGACATAGAAGTATCAATGATTTTTCCATTGTTTATAGGAAGGGTGAAGTTATTTCCATGGGTCTAAATTTCACATTCTTATCACCAGATACTGTCTTCTGTATAAGGGACTATCCTTACCTTTCTCAACATTTTCGGTATAAGATTAGTTGAGAAGGATCTATTAAAGATACTCATGAATGGACAACGTAGAACGTCAGCACATTTTTTTCAAAGAGAAGTTCGGGATTCCATCAGGTTCCAAACGTTGGGATGAATTAGATGACTGGAGACATTTTCGGACATCAGTTTTGGTCAAATAGGAACACAACTATTCCTCAAACCTGACGATATAGGGAGTAAGAAATCAGATGACTGACATACAAAAGACTTATTTAGGTCACAAGCACTCATCTGGTTATCGCTTCCAATATGCATGTCACCTGTAAGTTTTGTACATGCGATCATACCTGGGGATACACCAACTTCACAACCAAGAGTTTCTCAATCTGGGTGAATTCGTATGGTGTTAAGCAAGATTACCTACCACTTCGAACTACCGACCGTTGGCCCTTCTCTCTATATCTTCTGAAATTATGGAGTCCCTGATGTGCAATAGTATACACGATTACTTATTATCCTTAAAGTTCTTCTCACCCCAACAGCATGGTTATTGGAAGGCTCACTCTTGTATAACCAACCTGCCGACTGCAGTGGATAGATAGGCAAGCATCCTTGATCTCAAAGGGAATTTCGGTAACATTTACCTTGATTTCTCAGAAGCTTTTGAGAGAGTCAACCGTATATGTTTTATCAATAAGCTCAAACGATTGGGTATCAACACAACCTTTAATTGACTGACTTGCCTCATATCTAAAAAATCAACATTTGAAGGCCAGGGTTAGCTTCACTTTCTCTCTGGCTATGGAATGTCCTAGTGTGGTCCCCCAAGGTTCAGTTCTAGGACCTTTCCTTTTCTTGATTTATATAAACGATCGTCCAGAACAGGTATCGTATGACTGAATACTTTTGCTGATGGTGTGAACTTTGGGGAGAGATACGCAACCAAGAGGATATATTGGCACTTTAGGAGGATCAGACTCTTCGTGTTACACTTAAGAATGCCTCCGACGTAGAGGACGTCCTGCTAGCCAGTCACTTACTGAAGTCCGATAGGAACGTAAGAATACTGCCCGACATACCGTACTCTGAACGAAATCTCATCCGGAACATCCCTAAGGAATCTGGCGAGGCGTTTTTCCGTGGACGAAATATCATTGTGCAAGGTGTGCCGGAAAATATGGACCCAGCTCAAGCAAACTCTGATATTCGGGAATGGAAATTCATTAAGCATTCCTTAAAGCTCAAGAACATATTGACCCAACAGGTAATGAGACTGGCCAAGAGAGACGGAGACTCTAGGCCCCGGCTGCTGAAGATAACCTTCCCCTCCTCCCACATGGCGGCTGCAACTCTGGAAGCATTTCGTGCCAATAGACGTCGGTTGCCAACTGGCATCCATATGCATCCGGATAGGCCCCACGACAGCAGGATCAAGCACAAACGAAAGCTGGAGCTGACAATTCCACTCGTGGACTGTCTTGATCATAAAAAAGACGTGTAAAGGACAGGGACTACCAACTCGGTAAACATCGTATAGGTAGGCTACTTGTCCACTCACACACGGCTCATATAGACAAACAGGAAGAGGCTCACGCGTTCCAAATTGAAAGCATAAACTGCCTATACACGAACGCCGCGAGCTTGCCAAACAAAATGGATGAGCTACGTGAACTTAGCAACGCTAATGATGCCCATCTGATAGGAATATCCGAAACTTGGATTATCTACCACCTCGAGGTGCCTAGTTGGGGTCGTTTACAGGAAGCCCACTGCCGACATCGAATATGACAAACGTCTGCTGGAAGGATTAACTCGCTCTACGCGTCTCGGATTCTCTCATATCCTGATTCTAGGGGATTTCAATCTCCCTAGAATCAACTTCGTGGAACATACATTGGTGGTGCCAACTCTACTGAAGCTCTGTTCTTCAACCTTATCGGCGACCTGGGATTATTTGAAAATGTGAAGTCGGCAACCCGTTGGAGAAACAGTCAGACGCCGTCACGCTTAGACTGGGTATTCACAAATGAAGAATTCCTAGTTGACGACCTCTCAATCCTGGCTCCCCTGGGGAAAAGTGATCACGCCGTCTTATCATTCAGCTTTGTCAGCAAGACGGAGCTACGATATCCTACTAGCAACAAGCGCTGGAACTTCAAACGGTTGAATGTGTTAGCTTTACAGGACTATCTACAACAGGCAGATTGGGATGTTCACTCTCAAATTGAAGTGGATGCTCATTGGGATTTTGTACTGCACACGATCTTATGTGCTACTGAGCATTCAGTTCCTAAAATGGTCCCAAAAAGCTACAAGCAACCTGCAATCATCAAGAACCGCACTCGTCGTTTGCTAAGCCGCAAAAGGCACTGTTGGGCTGAATATAAACGAACTGATAACAACCGCGCGTACAGGCAATACAGACATATAAGGAACATATGCACAAAGGCAATAAGAGAAGACAGGCTTCAGTTCCAGACCAAGCTTATCGATAGATTCGTCTCCAATCCGAAAAGCTTGTTCAGTTATGCAGCTTCTCTTCGACAAGGCAAAACTGGAGTTTCCCAACTGCTTGATCCTAATGGCCCGACCAACAACGACAGTGATGCCGCTAATCTTTTGACTGAACATTACTCCCGGACATTCCAGCTCACCCACATCAACCATACTGAGGAAAGCTTCACCTGCACCTGTACAGGACTTTCCGAAGTGGACCTGAGTGCTGACCTGGTGCTCCGTAAACTGCAGCACCTAAGAAAAGACACTTCTCCTGGTCCGGATATGGTTCATTTCGCCGTATTGAGGGAAGCAGCTTCAATCCTAGCGACGCCACTTAGCGTGATGTTTGAACACTCGCTAAGCAGAGGCGAGTTCCTGCTTGGAGGTATTGGTGATCCACTGCTACTAGACACAGATGTCTGTTAAGCGAAAGCTTCTTCTATTCCGTCCTCAACCATTTGAACCATTTAGACTCGACTTCAAAGTTGGGCCGACGACAACGGACTTACCTTGAACACTTCAAAGCGTAAAGTAGTCAATCTGCGACATGTTGCAGACTACAGTTACAACTTTGGAAACTCCTCTCTAGAAGTATCTCAAGTCGAAAAAGATTTGGGAATGTTGGTACCCTACGACTTGAAGTCGTGCGCTAACTGTGACAAGAACGCCTTTCCAGCGAACCTTGCACTGGCAACATTGAAGCTCATTTTTGACCAGCTTGAGGGTAGAACTTTCCACATAATCTTCAACAGTTTTATCCTTCCCCATTTAGAGTACGGAAACATAGTATTTCCCCCCTCCCTCCAAAAGGATAAGAACACTCTGGAGCGTATCCAAAGGTGAGCCATGAAATCAGTTCGGGGACTCACGTTCAAGCCTTGTGAAGAGCGCCTCCAATCACTTAATCTTTACCCATTAGAGTACAGGCGTCTTAGAGGTGACCTTCTTATGGCTTACAGTATCCTTAATACTTCTGGTCATCCCCTTAAACAACTTCTTAAGCTTAGTCATAACACTAACCTCAGAGGTAACACCCAGAAATTGGAGACCCTACATAGCAGAACAGACTGCAGACACAACTTCTACTCCTTAATAGTTGTCAAATGCTAGAATTTAGCTGCCGAATGAGCTAGTCAAAGCGACTTCTCAGGAGTCCTTTAAGAGGAAACATGACCTATTCTTAAGGACTAAGGATAACATCTTATTACGACTTACCAATTTCTTTTTTCCCTCCATTATCGTTAATATACCTAGGTTCCTGCTTGGAGGTATTGGTGATCCACTGCTACTAGACACAGATGTCTGTTAAGCGAAAGCTTCTTCTATTCCATCCACAACCATTTGAACCATTTAGACTCGACTTCAAAGTTGGGCCGACGACAACGGACTTACCTTGAACACTTCAAAGCGTAAAGTAGTCAATCTGCGACATGTTGCAGACTACAGTTACAACTTTGGAAACTCCTCTCTAGAAGTATCTCAAGTCGAAAAAGATTTGGGAATGTTGGTACCCTACGACTTGAAGTCGTGCGCTAACTGTGACAAGAACGCCTTTCCAGCGAACCTTGCACTGGCAACATTGAAGCTCATTTTTGACCAGCTTGAGGGTAGAACTTTCCACATAATCTTCAACAGTTTTATCCTTCCCCATTTAGAGTACGGAAACATAGTATTTCCCCCCTCCCTCCAAAAGGATAAGAACACTCTGGAGCGTATCCAAAGGTGAGCCATGAAATCAGTTCGGGGACTCACGTTCAAGCCTTGTGAAGAGCGCCTCCAATCACTTAATCTTTACCCATTAGAGTACAGGCGTCTTAGAGGTGACCTTCTTATGGCTTACAGTATCCTTAATACTTCTGGTCATCCCCTTAAACAACTTCTTAAGCTTAGTCATAACACTAACCTCAGAGGTAACACCCAGAAATTGGAGACCCTACATAGCAGAACAGACTGCAGACACAACTTCTACTCCTTAATAGTTGTCAAATGCTAGAATTTAGCTGCCGAATGAGCTAGTCAAAGCGACTTCTCAGGAGTCCTTTAAGAGGAAACATGACCTATTCTTAAGGACTAAGGATAACATCTTATTACGACTTACCAATTTCTTTTTTCCCTCCATTATCGTTAATATACCTAGGTTCCTGCTTGGAGGTATTGGTGATCCACTGCTACTAGACACAGATGTCTGTTAAGCGAAAGCTTCTTCTATTCCATCCACAACCATTTGAACCATTTAGACTCGACTTCAAAGTTGGGCCGACGACAACGGACTTACCTTGAACACTTCAAAGCGTAAAGTAGTCAATCTGCGACATGTTGCAGACTACAGTTACAACTTTGGAAACTCCTCTCTAGAAGTATCTCAAGTCGAAAAAGATTTGGGAATGTTGGTACCCTACGACTTGAAGTCGTGCGCTAACTGTGACAAGAACGCCTTTCCAGCGAACCTTGCACTGGCAACATTGAAGCTCATTTTTGACCAGCTTGAGGGTAGAACTTTCCACATAATCTTCAACAGTTTTATCCTTCCCCATTTAGAGTACGGAAACATAGTATTTCCCCCCTCCCTCCAAAAGGATAAGAACACTCTGGAGCGTATCCAAAGGTGAGCCATGAAATCAGTTCGGGGACTCACGTTCAAGCCTTGTGAAGAGCGCCTCCAATCACTTAATCTTTACCCATTAGAGTACAGGCGTCTTAGAGGTGACCTTCTTATGGCTTACAGTATCCTTAATACTTCTGGTCATCCCCTTAAACAACTTCTTAAGCTTAGTCATAACACTAACCTCAGAGGTAACACCCAGAAATTGGAGACCCTACATAGCAGAACAGACTGCAGACACAACTTCTACTCCTTAATAGTTGTCAAATGCTAGAATTTAGCTGCCGAATGAGCTAGTCAAAGCGACTTCTCAGGAGTCCTTTAAGAGGAAACATGACCTATTCTTAAGGACTAAGGATAACATCTTATTACGACTTACCAATTTCTTTTTTCCCTCCATTATCGTTAATATACCTAGGTTCCTGCTTGGAGGTATTGGTGATCCACTGCTACTAGACACAGATGTCTGTTAAGCGAAAGCTTCTTCTATTCCATCCACAACCATTTGAACCATTTAGACTCGACTTCAAAGTTGGGCCGACGACAACGGACTTACCTTGAACACTTCAAAGCGTAAAGTAGTCAATCTGCGACATGTTGCAGACTACAGTTACAACTTTGGAAACTCCTCTCTAGAAGTATCTCAAGTCGAAAAAGATTTGGGAATGTTGGTACCCTACGACTTGAAGTCGTGCGCTAACTGTGACAAGAACGCCTTTCCAGCGAACCTTGCACTGGCAACATTGAAGCTCATTTTTGACCAGCTTGAGGGTAGAACTTTCCACATAATCTTCAACAGTTTTATCCTTCCCCATTTAGAGTACGGAAACATAGTATTTCCCCCCTCCCTCCAAAAGGATAAGAACACTCTGGAGCGTATCCAAAGGTGAGCCATGAAATCAGTTCGGGGACTCACGTTCAAGCCTTGTGAAGAGCGCCTCCAATCACTTAATCTTTACCCATTAGAGTACAGGCGTCTTAGAGGTGACCTTCTTATGGCTTACAGTATCCTTAATACTTCTGGTCATCCCCTTAAACAACTTCTTAAGCTTAGTCATAACACTAACCTCAGAGGTAACACCCAGAAATTGGAGACCCTACATAGCAGAACAGACTGCAGACACAACTTCTACTCCTTAATAGTTGTCAAATGCTAGAATTTAGCTGCCGAATGAGCTAGTCAAAGCGACTTCTCAGGAGTCCTTTAAGAGGAAACATGACCTATTCTTAAGGACTAAGGATAACATCTTATTACGACTTACCAATTTCTTTTTTCCCTCCATTATCGTTAATATACCTAGGTTCCTGCTTGGAGGTATTGGTGATCCACTGCTACTAGACACAGATGTCTGTTAAGCGAAAGCTTCTTCTATTCCATCCACAACCATTTGAACCATTTAGACTCGACTTCAAAGTTGGGCCGACGACAACGGACTTACCTTGAACACTTCAAAGCGTAAAGTAGTCAATCTGCGACATGTTGCAGACTACAGTTACAACTTTGGAAACTCCTCTCTAGAAGTATCTCAAGTCGAAAAAGATTTGGGAATGTTGGTACCCTACGACTTGAAGTCGTGCGCTAACTGTGACAAGAACGCCTTTCCAGCGAACCTTGCACTGGCAACATTGAAGCTCATTTTTGACCAGCTTGAGGGTAGAACTTTCCACATAATCTTCAACAGTTTTATCCTTCCCCATTTAGAGTACGGAAACATAGTATTTCCCCCCTCCCTCCAAAAGGATAAGAACACTCTGGAGCGTATCCAAAGGTGAGCCATGAAATCAGTTCGGGGACTCACGTTCAAGCCTTGTGAAGAGCGCCTCCAATCACTTAATCTTTACCCATTAGAGTACAGGCGTCTTAGAGGTGACCTTCTTATGGCTTACAGTATCCTTAATACTTCTGGTCATCCCCTTAAACAACTTCTTAAGCTTAGTCATAACACTAACCTCAGAGGTAACACCCAGAAATTGGAGACCCTACATAGCAGAACAGACTGCAGACACAACTTCTACTCCTTAATAGTTGTCAAATGCTAGAATTTAGCTGCCGAATGAGCTAGTCAAAGCGACTTCTCAGGAGTCCTTTAAGAGGAAACATGACCTATTCTTAAGGACTAAGGATAACATCTTATTACGACTTACCAATTTCTTTTTTCCCTCCATTATCGTTAATATACCTAGGTTCCTGCTTGGAGGTATTGGTGATCCACTGCTACTAGACACAGATGTCTGTTAAGCGAAAGCTTCTTCTATTCCATCCACAACCATTTGAACCATTTAGACTCGACTTCAAAGTTGGGCCGACGACAACGGACTTACCTTGAACACTTCAAAGCGTAAAGTAGTCAATCTGCGACATGTTGCAGACTACAGTTACAACTTTGGAAACTCCTCTCTAGAAGTATCTCAAGTCGAAAAAGATTTGGGAATGTTGGTACCCTACGACTTGAAGTCGTGCGCTAACTGTGACAAGAACGCCTTTCCAGCGAACCTTGCACTGGCAACATTGAAGCTCATTTTTGACCAGCTTGAGGGTAGAACTTTCCACATAATCTTCAACAGTTTTATCCTTCCCCATTTAGAGTACGGAAACATAGTATTTCCCCCCTCCCTCCAAAAGGATAAGAACACTCTGGAGCGTATCCAAAGGTGAGCCATGAAATCAGTTCGGGGACTCACGTTCAAGCCTTGTGAAGAGCGCCTCCAATCACTTAATCTTTACCCATTAGAGTACAGGCGTCTTAGAGGTGACCTTCTTATGGCTTACAGTATCCTTAATACTTCTGGTCATCCCCTTAAACAACTTCTTAAGCTTAGTCATAACACTAACCTCAGAGGTAACACCCAGAAATTGGAGACCCTACATAGCAGAACAGACTGCAGACACAACTTCTACTCCTTAATAGTTGTCAAATGCTAGAATTTAGCTGCCGAATGAGCTAGTCAAAGCGACTTCTCAGGAGTCCTTTAAGAGGAAACATGACCTATTCTTAAGGACTAAGGATAACATCTTATTACGACTTACCAATTTCTTTTTTCCCTCCATTATCGTTAATATACCTAGGTTCCTGCTTGGAGGTATTGGTGATCCACTGCTACTAGACACAGATGTCTGTTAAGCGAAAGCTTCTTCTATTCCATCCACAACCATTTGAACCATTTGAAAGGAATAGCGCCTAAACTAAACAGTTGCATGCTTGGTGAAGCCATATCTTCTGTACTATATACGTTTGGGATATGAGTAATCATTGAATTATTTGTATTACTTGGTAATCAACGTACGTCATCGTATCTCACTTGTCTTTTTTTTATAGATTTGTGATTTTTGTTACAGTTCGGCCATCAAACATCTCCCATCTACCTGGTTCACGTGATTTATTCTAATGCCGGTTTACAAAGGTTTGAACAATGCAAAATAACATTACAAATTAATGGGTTTTGTGAACAGTTAACGTAAAGTGGCAGAAGAATAAGTACTCAAACGTAGAATGTAACACTGATGAGTGTCCCGAGTTATTCAAGGCGTTACTTTTTTCTCTTACTGGTATTCCTCCCGATCGTCAAAAAGTTATGATGCCTGGAGGAATACTAGGAGATGAGAATTATAATGGCATTAAATTGAAGGATGTAAGGAACCTATATCCTGATGTTCATCATTAAGGGAATTAATATCATGCTTGTTGGGTCGGTCGACGAAATACCGATTTCCGAAACTCCTTGCTTGGATGATTCAATAGTTGCTCATTCCACGGAAGACTCTATAAAACTACCGCCTGGCCTCGTAAATCTTGGCAACACTTGTTATATGAACGCTGCTGTGCAATTGCTTTTCTCAATCCCAGAATTGCGTATAGCTTTGCAGATGTAAGTCCATGTATATGCTTTTAATTTCAAATTTTTGTCCAATATTTTGGTATCTGCATAAGTCGAGTTCTACGATGAACAATAAATATGCTTGTATAACTATATCGTAACTGCTAATATATATTGTACAACAGTAACCCCATATCTGCTTAGTTTCTTCGTGGTTGTAATATTCACTGTGTACTCTGACCGTTTCACACGACAAACTTGCTAGTCAATAGTCATAATTGTCCTTAAGTATTCACCATAACGATCCTTTTCAAAACTGACTTGTTCAGATAGCTTTGTTTAATTTTCTGTGCTCATCTGATTGGACGAGTTGGTTGAAATATTCCATTTAGTTCCATAAAAAACCATGTTTTTGAGTCAAGTTGCCAGTAAGCATTTTATGTTGGGTTTTGAACACCGACTGGTCATATTTTGAAGTTAACCTATATCTATTCTCGTGATTCGTCCAGTTTCATGTATTATTCCCAGTGAGACAATTTCAGTTCCAAGTTGACATGCCAGTGAAATCTAGAACCTGTTACTAAGAGCTTATAATAATACATTATCTCAAAACAGAATCTTTTTGGCTTTAGTCTTATTAAAAAGATCAGTTTGGTTTCGTTATCGAGTAAAAATAATTTTATAATTGTTTTGTCAGTTTTAAAAATATTTGCCCAAGCTGTGGAAGCTCGACGAAATATCACAGGACTATTTTCGAGAACAAGGTAAACGTAACTCCTGTCCTTCCAACCAGTTTGTTCAAAGCAAGTGTACCTATCATTCGGTTCGTTTGTAATGACATGATTTGGTTAAGTTCACATTACTAATGAAGAGACAAAATCATTTCGAATTATGTATTGGATGTCATATGCATCAGCAGTAAGCATTTCGTGTAATTTTGCTTTCACATTTCCTTTACACTGGCTGGTGACTTGAGACCTTCACAACTACACTAGAAAGATATGCTCTCAAAAATACTCATACGGTGATTGCTAGTATGTTTTTGCATTTTATTCAGAAATTCAAAACTCGCCCTTGAGATGCTGGTCTGTTAAACAGTTACATTTTCTTTTACGTCGTGTAGTTGACTTCCAGCTAAATCAACCGTGACTTGAAAAATGTTTCTGTTTGCTATTTTATGTAATGTGGTTTTGTGCACTTGTGTACATAGTTCGTATCCGGTAAATGTACCATAGCTGTCCTAAATTTATGACGAATTGATTTAAATGCTAATGTATTAAGCTAGCGATGTTAATTTCATGAAAATCCTGTCGACCTTGGTAATTGATTACAACTCGAAATACGCGACTTTAACGAGCCGTTGATTTGAATCCGACTTACAATTATCAAAATGACCTTTAATCTATTACTTGGGGTGTAAGTAAACATTCTTGTATGTTTCGAAATCCCTTGGCTAGTTGCTAACGTTTTGTGCAATATATGATCCTGATACCCGAACGTTGCTGCTACCTTGACGTGGTGGTCAAGCTTGCCTATCGTGATAACCCAACTTAGCTATATTGGCTGGGACATATGTTCCTGTAGGTTCTACCATACCAGGCAAGTCGATTGAAGAGCGATAAGACTAAAAGCATCAAACCCAAGGTCCGAGGGCCAAGTCGTAGTCTGACTGTAGGTGGGTGTGACAGCAGTAAGGTGTTCCCTTCAGACAACCAGCATCCGCAGCGATGCTGTCTTCTCACAAGGAAGAAAAGGGTTAGAAAAGGTCGACCTTAAAAATGCACATCTCGCCTTATCCCACGGATATCCGTCTCTGGCGGTAAGGTCTCAACAAGTATGGAGCTAACACAAAAATTACCTACAAAAAGGTCGTGTGTGACCGGCCTCAATCAGTTGTCCCTTGTTCACTGTGGTCCCGCTCCCAGGTCACTAAGACCACTTCTAATCCAATTTCTTTTTCAGGTAGCTCTAGAAGAACTTCCCACGGCAACCGGGAAGTGAAAACCGGCATCATACCTCTAACAACATTCAAAATCACTGTATCCATAATCAATCTCCTATTCCTATTATTCCTCCCACCACGACTTTCAACACTGAACTTCCTCTTTCGGCTCACTCAAGTGTTACCATGGCCAACGATTCTAGTGCGCGAAACAGTCCCAGGTCTACTGAAACCTTGCTCCAAACTACACATTGGAGCCTTCAAAGTACGTACCCTATGTCAAATCGGCCAACAGGTCTCCATGGTTGAAATCCTAGAATCTCGTACCATTGATGTATGCTGTGTCTCCAAAACACACATACAGGATCCTAGTGTGGTCATTTACTTGACCTCACCTCGCCAAAACGGGGAGCCGACGAGATACGCACTCCATTTATCAGGTGACCCGATGGCAAGTCCTCGTGAACTGACGAGTGTAGGCATAGCACTAGGTATGAGGGTAGGACAAGGAATTTTAAAATGGATAATCGGTAATGGTCACCTGTGTGATGTTCGGCTAGGTGGCTCCGTGAGAACACGGAAGGGAAGGACACACGTCACTGCATTTTCGTCATTTCTACCTAGGCTCCGACTGTATTAAGTGAAAGATCAATTTTAGAAAAAGCTTTCCGAACTTTCTCACAAAGCTGAACATTCAGACATAGTACTCGTAGCGGGTGACTTCAATGCCCAAGTAGGCAGCTTAAACCAATGAGAAACACATTTAGGTGGGTATTTCGGTACTCCGGCTCAGAGATCAGATAATGGGGAACGTCTGTTATAACTGTGCTCAGATAATCGTTTATTTTTAGCAAACACTTATTGTAAGCATAAGGAGAGGAATCGTCTAACACGGCAGCCACCTCCACCAAACCAACGATGGACTCAAATAGACCACATTGCCATTGGTCATCGTTCGAGAGGCTCAGTATAAGACTGTCACTCGTTCTAGAATACATGTTTAGACTCTGACCATATCATCAATTGTTAGTGGGCCAACATCGATTGGGAGATCTGTGGGTGCTGCTTCGATGTTGGGTGGGTTCAGTGGAGCTGGTCGATTCAATAGTTCTTTGAAGTGTTCTACCCACCTGTTTTGTTGTTCTTCAATGTCGGTGATTACTTTGCCTTCCTTGCTTTTCACTGGTCTTCCTGGATTACGATAATTTCTAGCAAGTTTTTTTTGTTGCATCATACAGTTGTCTCATGTTTCCTTCTCTTTCAGCCTTTTCCGCTGCCATTGCTAAATCTTCCACATATTTACGTTTGTCGGTTCTGATGCTCCTCTTCACTTGCTTGTTTGCCTCTGTGTATCCGGCTTGTGCCTTGGCTTTTTCTGCTCTTGTTCGGCTGATATTGATTGTTGTCTTCTTGTTCCTCCTTTCTTCAATCTTATCCAGTGTACCAGCATGAACTATTCCTTGTGGTCGTGCTTCATGTAGCCCAGAACCTCCTGACATGTTGAAACGATTGCCTCCTTGATACATTTCCAGTTGTTCTCCATAGTCGTTTCTTCTCCATTGAGTAGATCATGAAAGGCCTGGAAGCTGTTGCTGAGGGCTATCTTGAATTTGTTGGGTTTGTCAGCATCTCGAAGAAAGGCCGTATGAAAATTTTGTGATATTGTCCGCGCTATTGTCCAGTGCTTCTTAAGTTTTAGTTGAAAGCATCTATTGACAACCAAATGACATTCAGATAAACTTTCCGATTTTGGTAGTTCTGACTAATTTCCTAAAAGTTTTACCTGTGGCGTATTTTAGACTAAGTATTCAATGATGACTTATGAGGCTATTATTATCATTCATTTCAAATAATGCACAAACACTACTCAGATACGTTTGCTAATTAGTATAATTACTGGATTCACTTCACATCTTATAATCAAGATAAAGTTCTTCCAGTTTTCGAGTATTTGTTCAAAAGTTTCAGAAATCATTATAGAGTAAAAATATTGTTTATCGCTTTACGATCAATTATTTGGATAGGTGTAAAGTAATTAGGGCATGGTGATCACGTAAACCCTGACCATTGCCGCGTATTTAAACAATCGCCCATATACTGTTCGACTAGACGGCTCCGTAAGAACACGGAAGGGAAGGACACACGTCACTGCATTTTCGTCATTTCTACCTAGGCTCCGACTGTATTAAGTGAAAGATCAATTTTAGAAAAAGCTTTCCGAACTTTCTCACAAAGCTGAACATTCAGACATAGTACTCGTAGCGGGTGACTTCAATGCCCAAGTAGGCAGCTTAAACCAATGAGAAACACATTTAGGTGGGTATTTCGGTACTCCGGCTCAGAGATCAGATAATGGGGAACGTCTGTTATAACTGTGCTCAGATAATCGTTTATTTTTAGCAAACACTTATTGTAAGCATAAGGAGAGGAATCGTCTAACACGGCAGCCACCTCCACCAAACCAACGATGGACTCAAATAGACCACATTGCCATTGGTCATCGTTCGAGAGGCTCAGTATAAGACTGTCACTCGTTCTAGAATACATGTTTAGACTCTGACCATGCTCTAATACGAGCACACATTTCCTTGCGCCTCAGTGGACGCAGAAACACCATAATAAGAAGACCCATTAGAATTGAACTCGGGGAATGAGAAAGCCAAATGTAAGTTCCAGGAACAACTGAGCTCACATCTAGGCAGTTCTGGAAACGAGGCTGACCCAGATGTTGCTTGGAAGGATATACGAACAGCTGTGGAAACAACAGTAACATCTATTAGTAACTTAATCTAAAGGGTTACTAAAAACCAATGGATTTCTTTTAGGTCTATTGCACTGATCGATTCTCGTAAACTCATCCCATCAGGCTCTGAACACGATGAAGAGAAAAAACAAATCAGATCTAGGTTAACCAAAAGTATAAGGAACGACCGTGAGCAATTGTGGGTAACGAAAGCTAATGAGATGGAAAAGGCAGGGGCTGTAGGCAACACCAGACAACTCTTCAGACTAGTAAAATAAACTGGAATTAAGTGCAAGTGAAACGATTTCGGGAAAAGACGAAACTCTTATCTGCTCTCAGCCCAGACGTTTAGAACGATGGGTAGAACGCTTCAAGAAGCAGTTCAGCTGACCTTCAGTTACTCTACAGTCACCCACCATTCCCAGATAGTCTGAGTGGAACTTTGAAGTAGGTCCCCCGAATCTACCTGAAGTTCAAAAGGCTATGACTAATCTGAAACGAGGAAGGGCAGCTGGTCCAGATAGATTGGCTCCAGATGTCTTTAAATATGGTGGTCCAATTTTAGCGATTGGGTTGACTAATATTTTAGCTAAAACATGGGACTTGGACGTAATCCCATCTGACTGGTCACAATCACTGATTGTCCCAATATATAAGAAAGGATCGAAATCATCCTGTAATAACCATAAAGGGATTAGTTTCACTAATATAACATCTAAACTACTAGCATCATTAATTATCGGGCGCCAATCAAAGACTAGGGAACTACAAGCACGAGAAAATCAGGCTGGCTTCAGATATGGTCGTAGCTGTATCGACCACTTATTCACTATTCGTCAGGTTTTAGAACACAGACGCGCTTATTGGCGTCAGACAATGATAGCTTTTCTTGACTTGAGAGCAGCATTTGACTCTGTAGACCGGGAGGTTTTGTGGTAGTGTCAGTAATTGAAAGGCGTACCTCAGAAGTACATAAACCTTATGAAGGCTCTTTAATCGAACACTAACAGTCGAGTCAGAGCTTATGACGAACTGCCATCTGATTTTACAACCTCAAGTGGTGTCGACAAGGCTGTCCACGATCTCCATTTTTGTTTAACTTCATCATAGACCTACTTGAATAAAAATAGATAGATTGGACCGCCCTAACAAACACCACTTGAAGTAATCATTGCTGACGACAGTTCGCCATAAGTTGTAACTTGACCAGAAGTTTGTGAGTAGAGAGCATGCACACGATTATTGAACTTCTGCGGTACTTCTTCCAATGACGCTGCCATAGAACCTCACGATCAACCGAATCGAATGCCACCTTATGGTCAAGGAATCTAACTACAGTCGAACTTCGAGTTAATTTAACCGCTAAAACTGGACCACCATTCTTAACAAATCTAAAGACTAGTTTATCAAGCCCTGCTTCTCTCCCTCATTTCAGTTTACTTACAGTCTTTTCGACCTCACTAAGAGTTGGAAGAGTTGTATCAGTTCACCATTCATGTTTCTTGGAGATAGTGGGTAACTGAAGTGTGGCTGGAGGCCATTTCAACTGTTCCCTAAAATGTCCTGCCTATATGTTCAGTCTCCTGGATTGGTAGTAAATAATAGTCCCATCTTTTTCCGAGATAGTTTCACTAACAGCTGTATTTTTGATACTCGTTTGCTTGATAATCCTGTGCTTGTTTATTTATTTATTTTAACATAAACATTGGTACAGAGGGGCACCAAATATATATGCACCACACGACAATTCTGTACAGTTGCTTATTATTACCTAACGCTACTGTCTTTTCCATTTCTTGTGCATTCGCTGCCCACTACTGCTCACGATTACTAAGTAGGCTTTTTATCAGCCCGTGTTTAGGCTGCTTCTGCTCCTCACACGTCCCATACTCCAATGGGATGATTTTCTGGGCATCTATTAGTTCCGTAGATGCCACTGAAATCCACTGACTTTTCGTAACATTTTGGTTTAAGTTACCAGTAGATATTACTGCTGTTTCTACGGCTTTTTGGATATCGTAACAAGCTACCTTTGGGTGGATATAAACATGTGCTCCAGAATAAGGTAAAGTCATCTATCGCGCACCTCCAACAACGGCTAATGACAATATGATTTAGCTGAGTCCATCAAAAAGTTTATTGTGGAGGTTGCCACGTCAGACGACGCTTCTCTTTATGTGTGAAGTTGATTTTTGCTAGAAAGAGACGGTTATCTGAGCATAATTACAACAGACCGCCGCTAATATCTGTTCGCTGAGCTGCAACACAGTGAGATCCGTCTAAGTGCCTCTCGGTTTGGTTTAGTTCACCTACTTGACCATTAAAATCACCTGCCACTTACTACATCAGAGCGTTTAGATTTTCGGAGGTTGAATAGCATCCTGTAAAATCAGTCTTTAATTTCGAGTTGAAATCAGTGGGACCGTAGACAGAGACAACAAAAATGCAACGTGTGCCTCTGTCTTTCAGTGCTCTTACCCCATCCCGTTCAGATCTTGTTGCTATACCAGCGAGGCCACGGGATTCAGCCGTAGGGTTTTCAGATACTCCAAGGGTAAATCGTCCCGGTTCATTATATTGACAAGGTAAGTACAAACAAATGGCCTTATGTGGATCCTATATGCGCTTCTCGGAGATGCAGCATACATTGATGGCAGGAGATTCTAGAGTCATAGCTAGAGAAGTTCGTCTTATCTGAAAAAGGGTCCAAACAATAAAAGCTTCAACATGTAGTTAAATGGTTTCAGGAGACCAGAAACGACATTTCGTGAATTAAAATCATTGGCATTGGTGGCGCGTAGTGATAAAAATAGATGAGAAGGATAAGTCGGAGGGATGGAATAATTATTAAGAGGCGAGGGAGAGATTTGATCGTGGACAAGATCTTAGGTGTTTGTAGAGGTATGAGTAGGGTTTTCACTTCTTAGATGCCCACCGTGTGAGGATATTAATTATTGGGGGAGCTGAGTTAGTGGTGGTTTTACCGATCTGGGAACCGTACCTCTGAAGACGGAAATCCATGGGATAAAGTGACATTTCAAGGGTCAACGTTTTCTAACCACTTCCTTTGTGAGAAGGCCGAATCGCTAAAGACAATGGTTGTCTAGAAGAAACACCTTACTACTGTCACACCGCTCTAGAGTCAGCAGTATGACATTGCCCTCAGGCCTTATTTTGCTGCTTTGAGTTTTACCGTTCTCCAATCGACCTGTCTCGCATAATAGGACGAAGAGGGACATGTATTCCGGTCAATATAACTCAACCGAGTCATCATGATAGACAAACCTGACCACCACGTCAAGTTTGCAGCTGTAGTCGGGCAGTACTACAGTGGTTCATGTTTTCATTCAGTTTGTCGGTTGTTTTCGATGGACCTGGGGTTTCATACATAATTTGGCTCAACGTGGTTGTGTGTTTTGATAATAAACTAGCTGGTAACTTTTTACACAATAATACTGAAACCCACTGACTATGTACAGTTTCTCATACTAAGCTTCAAGCTGATTTTCGATGAGTGGTGATACTATAAATTTGTTAAATTGATGTTCTACCTTGTGACGTGATTATAATTCAAGTATTGTATTCAATAAGTCACTATTCAAACATGACTGTTATGATTGAAAATTATTTTCAGGCCAAAATATTGAAGTAATGCAAGGTTTTGTTGGACGAGATCAATTGATGTATAAAACCACTCACATTGAAATAAGTTGCATACTTATCGGAACACAAAGATCATATGTTAAATCAATGACACATTAGGATAACTTCTACCAAGCAAGTTTCACCTTTCGGGCATAGGTTTGATTACAAAAAATACCATCAAGTTATTGCACAAACTAACTAACTACTAGTTTCATCTATGAGTAGGAACGTAGTATTTTTGTCCAAGGTTCTTATTTGTCTTGAGCTTTTAACATGAAATACCATTTGTTCTAAAAATTTTCATTGCTGTTAAGATCAATTAACCAGAAAGCAGTTTAGTTAAATTCTTATGATGACTCAACTGACTGATATGTAACTAGTATTTTTCAACTGTACTATTGTTAAGTTTGATCAAGGTCTTTAATAGCTGTATAAATTAGAGAAGTGTTGTCATTTTAATAATACTGAAAACATTTCAAGAAATGCCCGTTGTGTATAAAACTTTTTTCCTTCACATAGATGCCGTTTTCCCCAAACTTCACCGGATTCTCCGAATCTTGGTTCCTTATGTGAAAGTTTGAAGTTTTTGTTCAATTCCCTAAGCAAAACTGAAAATCCGGTTACTCCTCTGCTCTTCTTGACTTGCTTGCACAGTGTTTGTCCGCAGTTCGCCGCACGTGCATCGTCTTCTGATGCAAGTAAATCCTCTCCAGGTGCTCTATCTATGGTTTCCCGTGGCTTCGAACAACAAGATGCTAGTGAATGTTGGACAGAGCTAATCAGAGCACTACAAAGTAGCAAGATTGATTCTCAAGTTTATGCGTCAACAGTGGTAACTGTTTTATGTTCTTCATATTTCAGTATTTTTGAATATTTCCCTGCTGGTTTCTCATCTTATAATAACTATACATTAAGACAACTTAATAACGGCGCAATAAGAGTTTTTCACTATTCATTACCAAACACAAGTATTAAGTATCTACTATAGTTTGAAAATGTATAGGGTGCATTGTGAAAGCACTGAAAAGCTGTATGGATTAGAATAAAGTATTTACAAAAAGTCATCAAATGAATGCCGTACGCGGATTAACTTCACAAATTGTGCCCTTTACAACTATAAATGTTTCTATAGATGATGTTCTGTGATAACCTCAGGTTCACAAAATGTTCACACCTCTTTCTACGTTTAAAATTTAGAGTTTGCCTCCAAGTTTTCTTACAACTTCTCAATGGAATCCTGTAGATAGATTTCTCACTGGTCAGTTATCCTGCAAACTTAGATGTACTGAATCAGATGAACCCGAAACAGATAGTCTAGAAACATTTACTCAACTTTCTTGCTTCATGCACCAAGGTAAGATTTTAATTAACGTCATTACATCTAGTCTTTTCGGTACATAGAATATGTTATCTTTTATACAATGCTTATTGTCTAGCAGCACGCTTCAAACCAGTACGTTCAGTTTTCTAAGTTAAAGGGCAATTATGTTACCGTACGTTATATTTATGTCTTGTATAAATTCTGGTATAGTTGAGTACCAAAACCATCAGTGATAAAAGGATAATATTAATAAATACTGAAGAAAGGATCCATGTTTTCCATCAAAAACAACTACACCAGTAGTCAGCGCTGCCTAAGTCAAAACCTTATTAGTTTCATTGTCTGAACTAATGCCGTTTAGTAACTAGGTCATCTTACCAATTACGTCTAACGAAGTTGAAGTGTTGGGATTATTCGGAGATTCATTACAGATATGATTTGTTAAATAGACGTAATGAGTAATTCACCGGGCTTTGAAGGTTATGATTTTTATTCCATACATTTTCAGTGAAAAAGTTTATTGAACCGGTACTCATTTGTTCCGCTTGTAAAAATGAATGTAGTTATAAGCAAAAATGGATAGTGGCTAGCAGTGGAATCCAGGACGCGCGTTTCGTCTTACTTGGGGCTCGTCAGCTGGATGTACCTGCATCTCAGAGTTGATGTTCACTCTGGGAATCGAACCCAGTACCGTTCGCTTCAAACACTATCGCGTTTTACACTTAGCAACTAAGTCCTGACGGACTCTTGCTTGTGTAATGGGGTGAAGCTTAAATTCATTTCGTATTGTTTGGTTGAAACTTCCCATTGACGTTTAGGACTGCAATTTATCAGTCTCTTATTGACCATATGTGCATACTGTGCGTATTGCCTCGATATAGCCTTAATCCACAAGCATTATAAGCAGAGATGGATAGTGGCTAGCAGTCGACTCAGTAGCTAAGTGTATAAGCAAACGGTACTGGACTCGAGTCCTAGGGTGAACATCAACTCTGAGATGCAGGTACATCCAGTTGACGAGTCCCAAGAAGGACGAACGCGCGTCCTGGATTCCACTGCTAGCCACTATTCATCTCTGCTTATAATGCTTGTGAATTGAGGCTATATCAAGGCAATACGCACAGTATGCACATATAACCAATAAGAGACCGATCAATTGCAGTCCTAAATGACAATGGAAAGATTCAGCCAAACTATATCAAATGAATGAAGGTAGTTGTTAACTGTTTCTAGAATTTCGCATGATACTAGATATGTAGCTGCTAACTTGACGTGGTGGTCAAGCTTGCCTATCGTGATAACCCAACTGAGCTATATTGGCTGGGACATATGTTCCTGTAGGTTCTACCATACCAGGCAAGTCGATTGAAGAGCGGTAAGACTAAAAGCATCAAACCCAAGGTCCGAGGGCCAAGTCGTAGTCTGACTGTAGGTGGGTGTGACAGCAGTAAGGTGTTCCCTTCAGACAACCAGCATCCGCAGCGATGCTGTCTTCTCACAAGGAAGAAAAGGTCGACCTTAAAAATGCACATCTCGCCTTATCCCACGGATATCCGTCTCTGGCGGTAAGGTCTCAACAAGTATGGAGCTAACACAAAAATTACCTACAAAAAGGTCGTGTGTGACCGGCCTCAATCAGTTGTCCCTTGTTCACTGTGGTCCCGCTCCCAGGTCGTTAAGACCAATATTAATCCAACTTCCTTTTCAGGTCCCTTAAGAAATGCCCTTCCACGGTGTAGGCAGCTGGGAAGTGATATCAGCCCTCATACCCAAAACAGTACACGAGACCAAGTTGGTCACATTCGAATCCTTCCTACACATAATAACTCTCTTATCTCCACGAATAACCCTCCTCACGTCCCTTTATCACCTCGCACCGCAAGGGCAAACGATTAGAGTACACGGAGCGTTATTCCTGGTCTAAAACCATTCTCTAAACTACATTTAGGAGTGTTTAACGTCCGAACATTGTGCCAAATAGGACAACAGGCTTTCTTAGCTAGGACTTTAGAATCTGTCTAGCGTCATTCATTTGACCTCACCATGTCAAAATAAATAACCAACCAACTGGAAGCCCTGATGCTGCTTCCCGTGGCCTCGCTAGTGTAGATATAGCATTGAGTTCTAGGGCAGAACTAGCTCTTTTGGACTGGATCCCAGTAGACAGTCGCGTGTGCGCTGTCCGACTAAACGGAACAGTAACGACTCGTTGCCTCTTTGTCGTCTCTGTCTACTCTCCCACTGGCTGCAGCTCAGATGATGTTAAAGATGAATTTTACAGAAAGCTTTCCGACCTTCTCCGAAAAGCTAGGCGCTCTGATGCAGGAATAGTAGCTGGTGACTTTAATGCTGAAGTATGTAAATAAAGCGAAAAGGAAAGATATGCGGGTGGATCTTATGGTGTCGTGGCTCAAAAAACATAATGACGACCGTCTGTTGCAGCTATGCTCAGATAATCGCTTGTTTCTTGCAAATACTGACTTTAAGCACAAAGAAAAACATCTTTTGACCTTCGAATTCGTCGCAACGTTTGACCCAAGTAGTTCACATCGCTATCAGCCACCGATGGAGGGGCTCGATAGAAGAGTGTCGCTCATTCTGGAGCACATGTTTAGACTCAGATCATGCTCTAGTGCGAGCACGTATCTGTCTGCGTCTTACTGGACGTAGGAAATACGCTACAAGGAAATCTCTTAGGGTTCTGCTTAATCATAGTCAAGCTAAGAATATATTTCAGGAACACCTAGATCACCGAGTAAGTAATACAGTTGTTAGCAAATGGGTTCTAGATATGGATGACAAATTAATTGACGAAGCAGTGAAATCCCATCAAATCGAAGCTACTACTAATTTTTCTATGTATGAATGATTCTTAACATCAAATCTATTTGATTCCAACCAAAATAGATTGCTTTGATTTATATGGTATTATTTGTTAATTACTCCAGATGTAAAGTATTTGATTACTGGTATTCGAAATGGATTGACGGGAAATCTAACTAAGCATTCATCTTTGCTGGATCGGAATGCAGTATATAAACGCGAGTCTCTTATTAGTCGGCTTCCAGCTTACCTATGTATTCATTTTGTTCGTTTCTTCTACAAGGAAGATAAACAGATAAATGCTAAGGTACGTCAGTAAGTGTATTGTAATAATGGCTATAAATGTCCAGTTTATGTTTAAATTACAACTTCAAAAGAAAACAAATAATTACTTTTGCCAGTCCGAAAAGTTCCTGCTTAAAGATCCATCCATAAGATCCATTCTCTCTAAATTGTCCCGTTGTGTTAGCTGAAAATTCTGATTATTTTTTTACATATATTTCAGCTTTGTGGTTCCTCATTTTTAAGCTAACTGCATTTTTTATAATAAAAGTTGTCCATTTCAAAAGACTGTTTTCGTATAAAATTTACACATGAAAATCCTTGTGATGCGAAGTAAAAGGTCTGAGGAGCGTCGTTGGTACATTTTTACTGAAAGATGTATCTCGTAGTTCCAAATGATCATTCTTTATTCTGAAGGTTCTATAGCTTTTAAAAATTTCATGATACTACTATGCACATTATTTTATAGATTTTAAAGGATGTAAAATTTCCACTAACATTGGATATGCACGAATTTTGTACGCCTGAATTGCAGCGGAAATTACTACCCATGCGTGAAAAACAGCGCCTTAAAGAAGATGAGGTGGCCAATCCCTCAAGCCAAACAAATACTTTCAAAAGTAAACCAGGTTTGTATTACTGACAGGTGGTTATGTAACGTAATTTTGGGAGTTGTTTTAACATTACGTTATTTATTGGGTTTTATCATTTATAGACAATCGAAGCAGGTAGGTTTTTTCGAAGTTCGAAAAGGTAGCAACGGTTATCGTTAAGAGAGTAAGTACTATGTCTGAGAGACAAAGCCATTACTTGGTCATTTGTAGAGTAAGTATGATAACTGTTGCAACTACATCGAACGTTTACAGTAAGCGCATGTCTACATGACAAGTAAAACAAAACGGTGAAATTTTCAACTAAATTTAATACTTTTAAGAAACGATACTCCAAATATGATCGGCACTTATTTATTTATTTAATCACATATATATTGGTACAAAGGGCACCGGATACATATGCGCCACACAAAATAATGAGAATGGGATGAGAAGGAAGAAGATGTGTGTATATAAAAGAAGGGAAAAAAGGAAGAGTGATGATGGGGGAAACTGAAATGTACAACCAGAAGAGCTTTTTCAGTTAAGAAAGTTATAGTCACTCTTTATGAAGAAATTAAAAGAAGGTTACAGCAGGATCGCCGCTGGCTTCTATTCTCAGCCATATCTGATAACGTTTTTAGCCACTGTAATGCACCATCTCTCGGACCCCAACCAGGGAGTCGTGAAGGACCAACAGAAGCTAGCCCTTTGCAGCTATCTTTCATGCCACGACACCATGTCATACACTGACCTCCTCTCCGCTTTTTCCGACCAGTCCCAGAGTCGACAAATAATGCACGACGTGGAATTCTCTGGGACCACATTCGTAAAACATGTCCAAGCCACCGAAGTCGGTGTTTCAAGATGGTGACACCAATTGAATTATCGTCCCTGCGCCCGAGCACACGATGCCGAACCTCTGCATTACTAACATGGTGTTGCCACTGGATGTCAGCAATCCTTCGGAGACAACGATGATCGAACACAGAGAGACGTCTAACATCCTCAACTCGGAGAGGCCAGGTTTCACAATCATAGAGTGAAACTGCTCTCATCGACGCGTTGTAGATTCGACCATTTACAGCCAGACTAGCATCACGAAGGCGCCAAAAATGGCCCAGATTGACATAAGCCGCTCTGGCTATCATTATACGTGCATCAGTCTCATCATTCACGCCACCACCAGCACTTATATAGCTACCTAGATACATGAACTTCTCAACTACTTCAATCTGCTCACCATCCAGGGTGAGTACAGGATGAGAATCCTGCCAGTCTTGTAGGAGTACTTTGCACTTCGACGGTGCAAAGCACATGCCGTACCTGCGGACACTGATTGCCAACCGATTAAGTGCTGATTGCATGCCTTGGGCATTATCGCACAGTAAGACAATATCATCCGCGTACTCGAGGTCGAGAAGTCGTTCTCCAGGCAACATATCCACACAGCCATTACTTACATCCATCAGAGCTGTTTCCAGGATGTCGTCGATGGCAAAGTTGAAGAGGAATGGTGAGATCGGGCAACCCTGCCTAACCCCACTGCTCGAATGGAACAAGGGAGAAAGGTGGTTGTATGCCCTCACTCTGCCTGAGGTGTTTGTATACAGGGCCTTTAAGATGTTAATGAACTTCTCAGGCACACCCTTCTTCAATAGACAATCCCAGAGAACAGACCTGTCCAACGAATCGAAGGCCGCCCTGATATCAAGAAACACTACGATTGTTGGCCTGCGATAAGTATGACGGTGTTCTAACATTTGGCGGAGGGTGAAGATGTGATCAATTAATCCTCGACCAGAACGAAAACCAGCCTGCTCCTCGCGAGTCAATCGTTCTCGGGTTTTAAACAACCTACGAAGAATGACAGAAGCCAATAGTTTGGACGCAATCGGAAGTAGACTTATCCCCCGATAGTTGTTTCAGGAACAACGTGAACCCTTTTTAAAGATAGGGACGTCTATTGACTCATTCCATGATGTTGGAACACTTTCTAGCTCCCAAATTTTTGCAAACGACACAGTCAGTTCCTTAGTCAGAAAGTTACCACCATCTTTAAAAGGAGCTGGAGGTAAGTCATCTGGGCCTGGTGACTTGTAGCGTTTCAAGAGTTGGAGTTCCTTGCGGACTTCCACCTCGTTTGGTGGATCAGTCGTCACCGGCCATGGGAGACAGGACAAACTGGTTGATGTTGTCGGAGCAGCAGGCCAGTTGAATTGCCCTTCGAAAAATTCCGCCCATCGTCCAAGACGTCGAGAGATGTTAGTGATTGGCATCCCGTCATCCTCGTAGATTGTTTCTCTCACACCAGACTTCTTGCTGCCAGTGGCTTGGATAAGTTGGAAGAGCTTCCGGCAGTTACCAGATGCAGCTGCTGCTTCCATCTCATTAGCACGCTCCGACCACCAGGCTTCTCGGTCCTTACGCAAGCTTTGCCCGATTTCATTACGTAACAGCCTTCGTTTGTGGTCATATTCACGGTCACCCGGAGTAGACCGACGGGCTTCCATCAGTTATAAGGAGCCAGAAGAAACCCAGTGCTTGTAAGCGGGACGTTTCGCGAAGCCGCAAGCGGCTTTACTCGCCATTTTCATGGCGTCGTGAAGATGCAACCAATGCTCATCTATACTTTTCGGTGGTATGGTAGCTAGCCTAGAAGCTAGCTCCGCTCGATACTTACTTGCGACAGAATTTGCAGCCAGTTTACTAACATCGATCCGTTGATGGCGGTCAATCCTTCGGTCACTGAAAAGTAAGGTGAGATTGGCGCAGACCAGGGCATGATCAGACTCCAGATAGGTACTCCAAAAGGAGCGGCATTCTTGTACACAACCACGCCAGCAGTAGCTGATCGTGATGTGATCAATCTGAGTCCAGGCTTGAGATGCAGAGGGAGGACGCCAGGTAGCACACCGGCGATGACTGTACGGGAAGTTAGTGCTGGCCACAAATAGGTTGTGGTCTGTGCACGGTTGCAGCAAGCGGTCCCCGTTATCTGTCCTGCGACCAACAAGTCCGCATCGGCCACCTAAACGATTCTCTTCTGTGCCTAGACGCCCGACCTGTGCATTCAAGTCTCCGGCTAGTACTACAATATCTGTCGAACGCGCTTTCTGGAGAAGAACAGTTAACTGGTGGTAGAACTCATCCTTGAGATGACGAAAAGACACCGTTTCTCACTTTGATGGAGCCTTCTAATCTAACAGCACATAATCGACTGTTAATGGAGATGCAATCGATTAGTGTTGCCTCAGCTCTAGCGCTTAGTGCAACACCAACGCCAGCAAGACCAGACGAGTATGTCACAGGGTCCCCGGATATGCGCACGTGAAACAAGCTTTTCTTGGCGACAGATGGAGAGCGAATTTGTAGTACTTCACTAGAGTCTTGAATACAGGTCTCGGATAGACAACAAACGTCAACATTAAGACCTTCCAAAGACATAGCCAACCCTATCTGTTGTCTGATCTGCATTAGTGTGCGAAAGTTGAAGGAAGCCAGCTTGAACGGCGTACGTGGTTTCAGGAAGACTGCTTCAGTATTCGTAATCGGTGGAAGCATTCACTTTCGACCAAACAGCGACTAGAGATCGTTTAGATGGAACAGAGTTTCCACCGAGAGCGAGCTGCTGCATAAGTTGAAAAGTAAGGTTACGCAAATTGGTGATAAAAGGGGGTGAATTAGCGATTTGGTAAATAAAAAATAGTAATAGTAATAATGCAAATAGTATGAGCGAGAATATAATTGTCAGTTGAATGTTTCATTTCATTTATTTGCGAGAGGGCTGTGATACTGCCCGGGTTCCCAAACCGAAGCAGGTGGTTTTCTTAGGGGGCCACACCGGGCCTTCGACCTAGAGGTCTAACCCACAAAGCAGTGGAGCATCGTGAGGAGATGCAGTCCCATGGTAGCCGGTGACCAATAACTGGTTCCTACGCCATTTGTTCCTTCAAGATACAGGAGCCCATGTGCACCATTGGTTTGAAATCAGGGTTTTTCAACCCCCCTAGGTAGATCCTTCATATCCACCAACCCGGTTATAGCGCCGGACATTCGCTTTTGTCCTCTCACTTTCGTAAACAACACCCCCGCCACGAGACGGCATGAGAACCTCCCTGGCAGGGGCTATATACGCGTGGCCATGTGAGAGCATTTTGAGAGGGAGAGCGGACTCTCCCCACTCTCGGCCGTATCAAGGCATTTGGGAGCACTTAGACAAATATAGTCGATGACAGTCAGCAAATAATGCTTATGTTAGCGGGACATAGATTGGATTAAAGCATGTTTTATGGATGATGGTGTTGCTGCGCGCTTATTGGCTAATTCTAAACCGATCAGCCCGGGCATATTATTGGAGAAAAATCTAGAAGCTTCTTATGTATATACTATATATATATGAACGTTATTCAAACTAGTGATTGCTGTTCACATACCATTATTATTTTGAATACAATTTCAATTCCTGTTCAAAGTGTTCTGATTTTGGGGTCTTGTTGATTGTCATTGTAAAAGAATACTAAGCAATAGGAATAGCTGGGTCGTTTATTAGCAAATGCAATTATAACAGCTTCCTAGGGTGATGTTCTTAGAACGTGCGCGAGTCACCGAACTCGATATTTCAAGATGACCAATGTTAAAATATGGTGGCATACATCCCTGAATCTCGTATTTAACAGCATGGTTTATCTATACGATGGAAACAGTCGTTTGGAAACAACTAAAGAGCGGCCGTACATTCAGCTCATCAGGAGTCCCAGCTTAACAAACGTAGATCGAAACTTTTTTAATGACTGCAATTGTTTTGTAGCCAGATAAACATTACAAGTGCCATAAGCCGAACTAAAGTGGGTTTAGCCAAATGTTCGTCCTATGTTCATTTTAAATATTCAGAGACAATATGTCCAAATTCACGTAAACGAATTCATTGACACATTTCTTCCAGATTCTGTACAACCTGACCCATTCCAAAATCCTGACTTGTACGAACCTAACTTTTTCGCTGATGATCCCGGTTCGAATAACTCTGGGTACTACGAACTTCAAGGTGTTTTGAGTCACCAAGGTAGGACAAGTACCAGTGGGCATTATGTTGCTTGGGTGAAAAAACAAGGTATGCTTTTCGAGGTATAAACATGTAATAAGTATTTCATATTTTAAATTCTTTTCACAAATACAAATAAACTAAATGAAAAGTGAATTTAGATCAACAAAAAAGTTGCACACACGACATCCAGACAGCGAAATAGCCACTAATATTCGAACTACTCTCAAGGTTCTTACAAATAATACCTAAACATGAGTTTTTGCTTTCCCGTGTGATTATATCCTCCTACCTAATGTAAGCACAAACTGGAATTGAGCACGTCATACCTAACATTTTAAATCTCATGCACCCTTCTTGTGTCTGTACTATTCCTAGTTATTCTAGTTTTATAGTTCAAGTGTAGTCTTCTAGGCTAGCTAGACATTTATTCTAGACAAGGAATAAAACTGTTCGGCAAAACATTCAAATTCCTCAGTAAAAACTTGGGTACACACTTAACATGTGTTAAACTTAGTTCCAATACAATTTTATTAAATGATATCACGTGATTCATTTTAGTTCATTGTCTCTTCAGGCTAAGAAAGAACAGGGTATTAAACAATTTTCATAATTATTAGCGGCAAAAATATTCTAAGCATATACATTTCCTTTAGCAGAATGTTGGACTTTCGTTTCAATGACACTGGTTTAAAATCTTTATACATGATTCATTGTAGAAAAATAATTCGGTGTCACTGTGACCAGCTGTTTGTCAAGCAGGTTCATATTGAACTGCGAATAAAAGACAACCACCATTTTGCTCTTAAAATTCATGCTTCACTATTTATTTATTTCAATAACTATGTAGGAATGTGGTTTAAATTTGATGACGATCGTGTCAGCCAGGTTACCTCAGAAGATATTTTGCGCTTATCTGGAGGTGGTGATTGGCATTGTGCATACATACTGTTATATGGACCTCACTTCATAATGAAGAATGCATGCAACGATCCTTCTGGAAGTACCGTATGAAGTTCATAAATGCAAAACAGTCTTGTATGATTATGTACGCTCTAAATAATTGACAATTTCTGTTGAATAAACCCGTTTTTTAAACGTGAAATTTTTAAGACGCCGATCAGCGAAGCTGTTCGTTGTTAGAGTTTGTCATTATTTTCTTCCCATAAAATTGTGATAATTTGTCTTATAAAATCACCGTGTTTGCTAGTCGTTAATGTTTTTCAGCTCGTATAACCATTCCGACTTTTGAGCGACTCACTTAACTGCGAAATTGCTTTTCTTGATTCAGCATTGTTTATGTGAGTTGGAATTCGGCCAATAAATTATGCTGTTGGGTTTTTGTTATTGTTTGTTTATCGACTGGAATAAGACAAACGATGTGTCTGATTATAAAATATTCGACACCAGATTAATCACCACAAAGTTAGGTGGTAAATAATCAGTGAACATCATGTTCTGTCATTAAAAAGTTAGTGGACATGTACAAATCTTCACATAAGTACTCACTAAGCCATCCAAAGATGTTCTGTGAATTGAGCGATGCATTATACGGTTCTGAAATATTAGTCTTCGAAAAGCAGTATTCACCTTTCAACCAGACACTTTCACGTCCGAATGTACGTAAACCTGCATAAGTCTAACATCTGTATAAAAAAACTCAGTTCACATGATCTCTTGAAGATGAACTTATAAAAGCAGTTTATTTAGTTCAAATACCATATAACTATTTGAAAGTACAAGAGCTACAATTTTAGCGTATAAATATGCATTCACTTTATTTTGTTAACTGTGCATTTTTATAATCAACATTTTAAATAAGCTTGTGAGCATCTGATAAAAAACGTGACAAACGGAAGTGAATGTACATTTCGTTCGAAATGTTATTCCTCTGAGTTCCCAAAAAGAGAATTATGTATTCTGTTGTTTCACGTACCTGCTCTTAGATGAACTAATAGTTTTTCAAGCATGAAGTTAATGAAAACGAACTTCATTATTACGTAATTTCAACCGGAAAGCTGTTCTAAATGTGTTTTCTATATTCCACTTGATTTGATGAATGAAATTAGTTCTTTGGTACGCCACATTTAAATTAAAATTTGTCCTAATAAGTTTGACCGCCTGAGTTGAGAGAGATTCTTATCACTGCTTTTGTTCATTTGGCTACAAAAATGTTCCTAATTATTTGTCAATCGCTACACAAAGTTTCATGTAAAAGATCCAAAATTGGTATATTTAATGCTTGTATTTGTAATCAATTATTATAATCACAGTGTAAATGAAAGAGTTAAACTATACAATAATCAATAATAAAGCGAGCCATAAAATTTGAAAAGTCAATATAAAATTTCATTTTTGACTGGCCACTACACTATGTACAACTGTTTGGTCTCCGAAAGGATCAGGTTACTTTTAGGAATAATCTGAATTTAGCTTCAAAAAATAAATACAAACGTACATTTACTATTATATGTAGTGAATGGTAGCATTAACGGTAGTCGCTGAATTATTTTGCAGGATCCGGAAGATAAGTATCTATGGTTTGTGATATCTGTAAAAATTCAAATCAGAATTGTTCACATCAATGACAAACTACGGTAGTAATCGTGATGTACAATACATGTTAGTTTTTGATATTACTGGTCATTTATACACATTCTGGGTTATGTATAAAGCTTCGTATGTGATGATGGACACTTGGTAAAAAAGGGAATCGACAAGAAAGATCTGCGGAATCTTGAAGGAGTTCAAATCAGGTTTAGAAGATAAAGTCACTCAAGTTAAAATAGGCAGTTCATCAGATGACATCGCAGATCATGTACGATCAGAAAATATCTTCTTCGGCTTGCTTTGAGAAAAGATTCGCAAGCGAACTTGTCACCTTGGTCAAGGTGTTAAACTTTTCTGACAGTCGATTTTACACAACTTTTATTAGAGGCATTGATAACTGCACTATCGTTTTGAAAATAGCTCTAATCTTTGCATAAGCTCAAGCTCATTTCTATTGTAGTTACTCATCTTAAAAACACAGGAATACGTCAAAACAAATCTGCTAGATTTGTATTTATCAGGTTATACAGTCGCGTGTAAACCGTAGTTTTAATATTGCCTGCCTCTAACAACTATCTTTTTTGGCTGCTATGAATGAATGAAAACCATCACTATTTATGTTTCCAGGAACATGAAATCATTAGATGTATGTTGGTGCAAAGGTAGCTAAAATTGATGGAAATATATTACATAATAGGATGAAATTTGCTCGCAAATTAATACTCACCGGGTATGATGTCGACTCTCGGCATGAACATCCATTTCAGTGGCTTTGAATTCGTTTAATTCTTTTCTAATATCAGCCTAGAAATAATGTTTAGACGGTTATATCATATTATTAATTTTACATTTACGATTACGAACTGATTTCTAATTTGGATATTTGGAAAAAAAATCACATTTTAGTCTCTACAGCTTACAAGGTTGTGTCCAGCACTCCGATATGAGAATGTGAGTGGTAAAACAAAGCAAAATATTAGTAATTGCTACTAGTTATGTATAATCGCGAAGAGCACCATGAAATCTAACTGTGTGCAGTATCAGAGATGTTTATATAAGGTTAAAATGCAAGTATGTTTTCAAGTTATAACTGACGAATAAAGCATAGAACGGAGTGAATATGAGAATTTGTTCACTGTATTGTAATTCGTTGACTCGACGAAATCGCTTACAATTTACAGCATGAAAACAACATGATTATGGTAAAGGTATTTTTTTAGAAAATACCAATGGTTAGCTTTCTCCAGATAATGATTGTAGAAACTTACTTTATCACGTAGAGTTAGACGAGTCCATGGTTTATCAGCTCGACGGTCATAGGCATCTGCTTCGCTAACTTCAACATAATCATTAAAACGAATAATTTTACGTCGACGGAGCTCCTCAACAGTTGGTCGAAATGATAGCTGAAAATGAGATTTTAATCATAATTAAAAGTTTAAGGTTCTCTTTTACTAATAAATAGCCTCGGGGGAAAAAGTCCATCCATTCAATGATGGATGGACATGAATAATCTACTTTTAAAGCATCCTATGGATTGGATGTAAAACAATCAACTTATATAGATTCGGTTAACTTCATAAATTACCTAGTTTGATACCATTACGGAAGTACATAGGAAAGCTAAATAAATGATGAGGGAGTGAATTTTACGGACTGAAATGCTTAGGACAGGTAATACATATAACCAGTCGCCGATAACCTCAGTGAACCGTGCTGATTAATGTAGAATAGGTTATAAGATTTTTTTATTTAACAGGTAATTAAGAAATGTTTCATATTTCAGCTGGACATGTCTTCCAGGTTATCTAGTTTGACTCTTATGAAATTAATGCATTTTGTCATTAGTTTATCAAAAATATTTCTTCATTTCTGTTAAAAAAAAGACGTTCGCCCATTCTCTGAAGTATCCACAAAGTAACAAAATATTAAATGTATAACTGTATATTGTTTTTTTATGTTTCTCAAAACCTAGAACGTTTTTTGTAATCTAAATTGGATAGAACAATTTTAAAACTCAGAATTTTATTGTTTTTATTTCACTTGTGTTATTTGACAAAATTTAATATCAGACGTGTTTATATGTGTTAAAGCTAGTTATTTTGTGACAAGTTGAAAGCATTTATTTTCAATAATAGTAATAATTTGTTTAGTAATCTCACTATCCATATGAAACTATTAGGTACTCTTTCTCTGTTCAGTTTCATATCTCAAACGAAAAACTGGTTTATTATGGCGTTTAAGTATAAATAAATTCCTAAATCTGTTATAGCAATCTACCCAATGTTCAATTTATTCGAAATTATCAAATCGCAACTTGGTAAGGATACCTATAATAGTTGGAAACTTTGAGTGATATGCTCGAAATCGTTCGCAATGACAAAAGTGAATTCAATCTTTATCGAACATAGTCTTATGATCATTTATTTACCAGAGGCAGATGATAAAGAAATTTTATATTGCCAGTTTACGATAACACCTATCTGAAGTTAAAGTTATCGGATATTTACAAAGTATCTTTCATTGAACAACGGGATAATGACATTAAAAGGTTAGAATATTTAAAACTGGGCCTACACATAAAATGAGACTTCTATTTATTAGTCATTCAGCAAAGTTAATTTGGGAACTGCAACCAGATGATAATGTAGTTGTTTTTTATAGAGAAGCATTAAAAAAAGTAAAGTATTCTTCGAGTACATTTATCAGTTGTCAGAATAACATACTGTAAGTAGAACACTGATTTAGGAATTTATTTATACTTAAACGCCATAATAAACCAGTTTTTCGTTTGAGATATGAAACTGAACAGAGAAAGAGTACCTAATAGTTTCATATGGATAGTGAGATTACTAAACAAATTATTACTATTATTGAAAATAAATGCTTTCAACTTGTCACAAAATAACTAGCTTTAACACATATAAACACGTCTGATATTAAATTTTGTCAAATAACACAGTTAGGACATAAATTATATGCAAGTGTTGAATCACATTTTAAAAAATAACTTATTCTGAAGAAACAATGCATAAAACTATTAAAGTACTTTTACTAGCATTTCTATGAGCTGATTAAGCAGCTACCTTTCATTGAACTTACAGACTTACACGTACAACTACTTTACTTTATGACTTGAGTTGTCGTTATTTTTTATAAGCAAGAAACTTTAACGCAAAATAACTGACAAGGTTGTATTTAAATACAAAGTAATTCAGCGAAGAAAATTCTTTTTTTAAAATGAAATTTCAAGTTTTTTCAGATTGCCTACGGAAGAACAAGTCAGGAGGGGCCCAGTGGTGATTTCATCACAACTCCATCAATTCGTCTACAGAAATCATTATTAAATCTAAATTGTACGTAGATCATACATTTCAGGAGCTTTTCTTGCTAGTAACATAAGAAGCAGATATCAAGGTTGCTGTTCTCGATACAGTCATACAAAAACATATAGTCTCTGCAAAATGAACATGTAGAGAGTGAAGAAACGCATTATTTCCCTACCAGTTACCTTGACGCTCATGACTGAGTGAACAAACATGGGTGAATCCATAGTGCTGTATATATTGATATCACTTTTGAAGGGTTGACAAATTTCCTCTAACCTCTTAGGAATCAATAATTGGTAAGAAAAGTTATTCATTTTCATGGGAAATAAACCAATAATCTTCTTAAAAATTTTTGAAGCTCACAGTCTTGAGATAGCGAAACCAGATTTCCATAGAGTTCGAAGTGAATGACATAGTCACCTTTCAAGAGGCTCCTTTAGAGAATTTTTTAGCATCTGATAAAATGGAGAATGTGCCTGGAGTCATCTAAAGTTACTGCCAGTAACGAGCTCGGTTAAACGAAAAATGATGGATATAGTGTTATCAACCCTATCTCGTCAAAAAACGCAAACAGGAAAAAATAATCTAAACCCTTTAAACTCTACCCTGTGAAGAAAAGGGTCTTCTCACACAGGAAATTTATGGTGTTTCATGATGAAAGCCAAGATTCTTCGGCAATCACAAGACTGATGAATATTCTGACAACTGAAGCAACAACTACTATAGGTACATGGAATGTACAGGCACTATGAAAGACTGAAGGTCCTTCAAATAACTGCCAAAATGAGAACATACACCTTGACTCTGTTTCAAATAAATGAAACCCATCAAATACAATACGGACAGAAGACTAACTTCAGGTGTTGTTGTATTCTGATTATGAAAATGCTATACACAAAGATTTGCTTTGACGCTGTCCGAAAAAGCACGAAAAGCACTCCTGGATGGAAAATTCAAGCAACCTTTAAGACGAAGAAGGTAGGGGATCATAATCCATGCCGTTAAGTACTGCACCCACCGACAATAGCAGATAGGATGATAACGATCTTTTTTCCCGTCTTTACAGTCCATTCTGGAGAAACGACCAGATAAAATCCTGATCATCACTAAGCACATGCAGTCTTTTTTTCAAAAACCTTAACACACTTTGAAGGACGCTTTTCTTTTCATGATACTTTACTTATGAATTTGTAATCAGCTGTTATTATCCTCTTGAAATTTTTCATAATTATTATTCAACTATTGCTATCACCTTGATGTCCTTCGTTTGTTCCTCATATCTATCTTTCATATTTTTGTTTCGTAAATTATTTTCGTCTCGCCATTTTCCTTTAACATCTAGATAATTACGCAGCCCGCTTTTGACACATAGGAACCTCTGAACACTAAGAAGTATGGTTTATTTTTTCCGTAGACGCATTTATTAATTCACTACGATTACATAGCCTTAGTACATGATATTGTCAAAAAAAGAATTTTCTTCGCAGAATTACATTTATAATTTATTCAACGACACAATGGGTTTCTTTTGTTATTTGAAGATATATATTTGTCTGATCGGTCAGTCAGCTACAACGTAGGACCAAACACATATATGCATCGGTCCAAGTTGCCATACCTCATTAGCACAACAATATGAACACCGAAATTCATAGTAGTTAACTTAGTGGTGGTAATATATAAAAGAAAGGTTGTATATTAGGATATAGTATAGGAAGGAAGTTATGAAGCAATTTTAATCTCAAGGTTTAATTGAAGATAAAAAGAGTATACACTTGCGCCATTGTGATCGATTCTTAGCCATGTCACCTAGAGTTTCCAACTATTGGTTACCATAGTCACGCGGACCCCCACCAGGTAGTCTGCGTCTGCCGACATGGCTCAGACTAGAAGTTAGTGACTTCAAGCACTGATCATCAGCTTGTATTTTTTTCTACTAAATATTAACATGGTTAACTTCAATGAAAGTGGCTTGACACATCAGTAAATAAATATTGTATTTCTATTTTACAATAAGAGAAACTAACATGTTCTAAAACGTTATGATAAGCTGTGCGTATTATCGTTTATATTAAATATCTTTTGTAATCCTTTTCGTAGCGCTGTTAAAAAGTCTTTTTTAATTTACCATTTTTCTTCAAAAGTAAACCTAATGACGTAGATTGAAACACATGCACGTACAATTAGTAATGAATCAAACAAATAACAATTATGATAATTGTTTATTCGCAAGCTTATCTATCCTTTAGTTTGAAGATGTAAGAGAACTACGTGTCGTATGACTTACTGTGATAAAAAATCAATTCTGCATAATTGCGTCAGATGACTATGATATGTTTTTCCTTAGTGAGAAAGAAAATTCACGACATAAGAGAATGATGGTGATAGTAGAATTCGTAATGTGTGTAATGTATCAATTCTTCTCATTTAAATTTAGGTTGATAGAAAATGATGATTATTTATCAAAAAGAAACAATTCCAACTGTACTACGACAGTGCTTCTGTAACACCACTCAACTATTCCATATGACCTTAAACTGGTCGGATTATTTTAACTAATTCAGGGATTAATATTATGCATGTTTGGCATCTATGGATACCAGTAAGTTCAACTTTCAGTTTGGACTATGCATAGAAAATGATGTTGGTTGGGATACAAATGGATACATTTCTTGTTTTTTAGTATTGATAAACATAGAATGCTTTTGAAGAAAAACAAAGACAATCAGCGAAGAACATTTTATTTTTGATGACACAATTGATTACTTTAACTATAGAATCATTTACAAAATGTAATACAGGCACCTTATTCAAGAGAAACCTATGCCATGATTTTCGTGACAACATTAGTTACTTAATTTTCCATTAACTTTACATCTTGAAAGCTGATAAATGCAATCCAGAACCAGAAATATATAATCCCACATGACATAAATATTCAAAAGTGATTTATGGAGGATAATATCTTTTGTGAAGAAATCTACCTCAATCAACAACTATGATACCCCTGTAATCCAGTTATTATTTTTGTTATTTATTTATCTTATGTATGTACCTCGCCTTTATGTGAAATAGTACCAGTGATAAATACGTAGTAAGTTAAAACCAGTTGTAATGATCATAAACTGCTTTTTATTAATTATGCAACCATGAATGGGATTTAAAAAAAGTACTGAAGTTATCAAATCTAGCCAAAGTTATCTGTATTTAAGACATTTTAAACAACCATGTTTTATTTCCTAGGAAGACTACATAGTTACTATTCTTTCAACGCTAGTTTTATATCCAATCATAATAAGATATTGTCAGTACCACGCAAAGTTCTCGACAAACTGTAGGTAAATCGAACAAAAGATTAAGTAGATGTCAAACGTGGAGATCAACAATCTGGGTTATGTAAGTACGGTTTAGCACAGAACTGGTTGTAGATCCTCGATCAGAAGCGTATGTCCCAGGAACAACAATGGGGTTAAAATTTATTGTAAGTCATTTCGAAAATTTACTCATTGGTATAAGCCACACTCTAAGCGTGAGGTTTAATTAAACCACTCGGTTGCCCGAACCGTAGTAGATGGAGGTGGGTTCGAAGCTGGTACTTAGTGCCTGAATGTTAAACGCCTTAATCAAAAATAAGATCACATATAAATGTATGTCAAGAAACATATGATGACAAACGGAGGATGTCATTAGTCGAATTTTCAAAAAGTACTCTTATAAGTATAATTCAGTAACACGAGCCCAGTGTTACATTAATATGCCATTTAACTAAATTGGTGTTGTCTTACATTCATTCCAGTCAAAGTCTCCAAGGGGTCAAACACTAAAACAGAATGAATCGAAACAACATACAAATCTCACTAAGTATCAGGAACCAATTTCACGAGAAATTTTGTCTAAATTTTAATAAAGAATTACGCGCTAAGTTTAATGAAAAATGTTAAGAAAGAAATTATACTTGTGAACAACCTCAGTGGTTGAAGTTTAAATACAATGTTTCTCTCGGTTGTTTAATCCAAGTTTCTTCAGTAGGAATAATAAAACATCAAAATTGTCGGATATGAATGTTTTGTTCACTAACTGACTTCGTACTAAACGAATTGTTCTATTACCAAGGTCACAAGAGGGATCGGATTCATTGACCTCAAACTATCTTTTTTTGACTGTTTGGTTGAAAGGAAACAAAAACTTTTTGAAAATTAATATATTCTGAAAGCCAACACTTAGGAAACACCTACATTGCAGTTCACAACATCCCCTATCTATCGAGATTACAGCTTCTAAGAATCTGCGATTCTTCACAAAACTGGAAGACAAATAAGCTGAGTAGAATTCGGTTTTATCAACTTTGATGACGAATAATTATCCTAGGGACTTTATAAGAATAATTAAAAAGGAAATTGTTATATCCCGAAGAGAATTATGGTGACTTTTGAGAACTATACATGGACCAATACTATGTGTATATTTTTATTGTATGACTGTTAACTAATTAAACTATTCATATTCATGTCCCTCTTATTATAAGCTTTATTTTGACATATGAATTATTATACGATTTACCATTCTTGAGTTATCCCCAGTCCTTTAATTACTGTCTCCTACATTCACAGCCATATTCGGCTAAATCTTGTACAAATGTTGTTTCCTATTTTATGGTACGATGTGGTCTGTCTGGTTGGTATATAAACCCAGTATGTTTGGAATAAATGATTCATATTGCAGAGGCTGTTATTAGTGTTTTAGACTTAACTGGCTGGGTTAGGCAGAAAGCAGGACCGACAAGTACTCTAGACTACTCGTACAGGTTTCTTGCGTCATTGGTCCGATCGATAATTCACTGCTCTCCAACTGGCGGCATCGTCACATTATATATTAACTGGGCACGCAGACTACAAGATATGACAATCACCGGCACAAGTTATAACAGAAATTCAAAAAGATATCCAGAAAGATAAACAAAAAAAGAATGCATTAATGTGGTGATCACTCCATATCTCAAAGGAACTTTGGCATAAATCGGGAGAATCTTGAATCATCACAATATAAGAGCATTTTTTCGAATGAACAATACTCGTAACTATACACCAGCAAGAGCCAAAAACACGATATCAAGAGAAGAACAACTGTATTGTATCTATGCAATCAAATTTAATGACCAGTGCTACATATTTAGGTAGAACATCGCGGCAGTTGAGTGTGGGAATGATGGGACACAAACTTTGCTTGAAGCGTATTCCTAAATCTTTAGATCTTTGAAAACTAGAAAACAATTAGGATGCTAATACTACATTCAACAGAATCTGAACATACAGTCGACTTCAATGTAACAAGAATGCTTTAAGAAGCTTTCGGTTCGTATAAAGGAGGATCAACGGCTGACCCCCTGCGTATAAAGGGAAACCCAAATGACATGAATAAAAGATGGAAAGCAATTATCTGTACCATTGTAACTGATAACTACTAAATAGATCTGAATTTGATCTTGCTACTCCTAATTCGTCTCATGTTTTGTAGACAACAACGGTATATTTTCATTAGTTCCAATCTATCAATCTGTTCGGATATAAAACGAACACCGGCTTGCTTAGCATAATAACACAAACCTATATGTATGTGTTTACTTATTGTCATTCCACGCATCCTGTGACAAGTTTAGTTGATTATAATATCCATCAGATTGTTTAATTATATCAACAATCATAACCTGAGGTCAAATACGGTTAATAATTCTTTCTCACGTCAAATTTACGTACATACACATACATACTACTTATCTTATATAAATTTCTCTAAAATTCATAGCACATGACTAATACCCACACTACGACAAACTCTCATGATTATTAACAATGCTTGGACAATTTGCTTAGTACAAAGTCAATTTGTAAATGAAATAGTTATATTCGATAATTTTGATGTTTGATTATTTCTACTGAAGAAACTTGAATTAGACAGCTGAAACATTGGATCCATATTTGAACTTCAACTGCTGAGATTATCTACAAATGTAACTTTCTTTCTAATGTCTATCAAAAGAAATTTCAAAGTTCCGTGACAATATAAATAAGATTTAGATTATAACAGGAATTCGACAGTCAAAAACCATTGTATGGGATACTCTTTCATACTAGAAAACATTCGATAAAAGATATACAAGTAGGGTTTACCTTGCGAGTTAAAATTTGCTTCCGTTCTTCTTTAATCTTATTACGAACCTCTTCGGTGTCCACTGAAAGGTAAAGTAACAATAAACTTAATTAATGGAAGAGTAATAAAAAAAACGAAAACATTTTTACGCATTCTTAATAACAGAATCTTCATTGAATAAACCGAACTTTTGCACGAACAAGTACATAAAAAGTCATGTTGATTGATTAGGATAAACATATTTAAAAGATAACATTAGTGGGCAATGTTTGAACATGTTACAGTAATGAAGGCCAACTACTTACATAAACACAATATTCCAAAGGAGTGAAAATACATACATAAATGCTAAAGATGAGATCTTCACCAAGTCATTTGGTCTGTTTACTAGTTTTAATTATCTGACCGTGAAGTCATAGTTGTCATATTTCTAAACAGTGACAATAAACATTATTAATGAATGTCATCAAACTGACTATGAAGTATACAGCTTTTTCGAATACTAATAGTTGGACATGATTTACGTCAATGCGCAGAGTCTTCAAGTTAGATTCCAAACAAGTGACGAGTCCCGTAGGGAGACGAAACGACTTTTCAACACCCTCTGTTTTCCGATGTTTGTCTAGCTAGAGTCAATCAATTGTTCAAAGTATATATATATATATATATATATATATATATATATATATATATATATATATATATATATATATATATAGGAGGTCCCATCATTTCCGTCAACAAATTTGTTTTTAGATTATTTATCAATAGGAATTAAACCATTATTGTCACTCTTTTCCCGAGTACCAGCTGGTAGAGAAAATCGTCCGTTATTTGGCTAAGCAGATAACGGTATCCCAAAATTTTTAGTAAGTAATGTTACGCTAACGCATAACTATAACTGTCAAAAATCTTGTCTTATCAAGCATAAAATTTCTTGTGATCAAATACACATGAAAATTACCGTGAAGGATATTTTTCTGTTTCAATTCATCAGTTGTAGGACGTTGATTAAGTCGACGCTCAAGTGACGCTTCAATATCAATCCGCAGTTCAGCACGTGCTTCTAAAGTGGTACTTGGAATTATATTTTTAGATATCAGATCTTCACGGCAAGGTCTACAAGCTAAAAAGCGATTGATACGATCAGCTCGTTTTGTCCACATATCTTTATGCGTTTGACGAGCCTTGATAAGTGAAGTGAGAGTTTGGCTAGGTGCGGATAGATTGTAAGCATCTTCTTCATCACTATCAGCAGAATTGTAAAAAACAAAACGACAATCTTTGCCAAAAGGATAAGCACGGCTAGATAAATGTGAGTATTTCAGTGTCTGACTAATAGTAGGTATGGTCTCAGCCGCTGTCGTATCGTTAGTTGGACTTGGTGATGACGCTGATGATATATGAGTAATTTTTGAAGTTGACAAGGTTGGTGAAGGACTGAATGTAGTAATTTTAACCGAATTCGAAGAGTAAATACCATCAGTTTCACATCCAGCCACTTTATTACAATCAGTGAGAGTCACACACGTTTCAGTGGTAGGATTTTCAGAAGATCTTGGGAAGTTATCAACTTCTTGAAAAGAATGAATGAAAGATTGTGGGCTTTCTGAGCATTTATCAAGAGATCTGGACATGCACAACATTGGGTTTGGAGAAGGTTTCATTTTATTGGGGGAAACGTAAAGATTCGAAACTGGTGAGTCATAATGGATATTTTCCGTAGAATCTGATGGAAATACAGATTTAGGATCTGTCTCATCGTTCACAAGATGTCCTATCAAATACAAATCTGATTTAGATATGGGCACAACCATCATACTGCAAGCGGCGGACGAAGTCTTCACAGTTCTCTTATTGTAACAAACTGCGTTTATTCTAAAAGCGTACAAGACAGTAATGCAATGAATAGTGTACAGTGTTGTTTAAAAGTTACTGCAATACGGAGTATTGTAAACGATAAATAATTGGTTTAGGATTACGTTCCATCTATCATATGAAGGTTAAAATATAGTAAAAATATCCAGTTAATTTAAAAACTCACACTACTGTCTAATGCTTAGACCGTTATGAATAATAGATAGATTATTATCCACAGAGCTCTAGAACTGGCATCATTCAAAACAAAGTAGGAGGGAATCACAATGAATGTTATCCAATGTTATGCACCCACCAATGATAGCAACGACGACATCAAAGATCAGTTCCACTTGAAGCTGCAATCAATCATAGCTAAGCGCTCAAGAAAGAACCTCACCATCCTGATGAGAGATCTAAATGCTAAAGTCGGAATGGACAACACAGGATATGAAGATATAATTGAACGACACGGACTGGGAGAGAGAAATGAAAATGGGGAGAGATTTGCAAATCTATATGTATTCAACGAATTGGTTATGGGCGGCACAATATTTCCACACAAATGCGTACATAAAGCTATATGGATATCACCGGACCACACCATGGAGAACCAGATAGATCATATTTATATCAACAAAAATTCCGAAGGACCATGTAAGATGTGAGAACAAGGAGGGGAGCTGACATAGCTTCAGATCACCACATGGTTGTTTTCAAGATGAAACTCAAGCTAAAGAAACACTGGACAACTGGGGGAATAGCATTACAAAGGTTCCATACAGCCTCTCTTCAAGATACTAACAAACTCAATGAATTCAAGACAACTCTCAACAACAGGTTCTAAGTCTTACAAGATCTACTGAAAGAACAAGAAACTAAGACGAAGGAAAACTGGGAAGGGATCAAAAAAACACTAACTTCAACGTATCAGGAGGTTCTGGGTCGAAAGAAACATCATCATAAGGAACGGATCTCTATTGGAACCCTGGACAACATTCAAGAAAGGAAGAACAAGAAGATAGCAATTAATAACAGTCGAAAGCGAGGAGAGAAAGTCAAGACACAAGCAGAGTACGCAGAAGCAAACAAGCAAGTGAAAAAGAGCATTAAAGCCGACAAGCAGAAATACATAGAAGAACTAGCAACTATTGCGGAGAAAGCTGCAAGAGAAAGGAATATGAAACAACTATATGATACAACGAAGAAACTAGCAGGGAATATAGTAAACCGGAGAGACTCGTCAAGGACAAAGAAGGGAGGATAATCACAGAGGTTCAGGAACAGAGGAAAAGATGGGCAGAAAACTTCGAGGAACTGCTGAATAGGCCAGCTCCATTGAATCCACCGGACATCGAAGCAGCACACACAGACCTTCCTATAGATGTCACTCCACCAACGATCGAAGAAATCAAGATGGGCATCAGACAAATCAAGAGTGGGAAGGCGACAGGACCTGACAATATACCAGCCGAAGCACTGGAATCAGGCATTGAAGTAATTGCATGTATGCTTTACCTTCTATTCAAGAAGATATAGGAGGAAGAACAAGTGACAACGGACTGGAAAGAAGTATAGCTCATCAAGATACCAAAGAAAGGAGATCTCAGCAAATGTGGGAATTACAGAGGCATCAGTTTGTTGTCAGTACCAGGAAAAGTTTTCAACAGAGTGTCGCTCAACCGGATGAAAGACGCAGCAGAGGCCCAACTTCGAGATCAACATACTAGATTCCGTAAGGATCGGTCGTGCACAGACCAAATTGCGACACTACGGATCATCGTTGAACAATCAGTTGAGTGGGATTCATGACTATAAATCAGCTTCATTGACCATGAGAAGGCGTTCGACAGTGTGGACAGAAGAACATTATGGAAACTTCTTCGACACTATGGAGTTCCTGAGAAGATCGTCAATATTATCCGGAACCCATACGATGGACTACAGTGCAAAGTAGTGCATGGAGGAGAGCTGACAAATACATTTTCAGTACGGACTGGAGTCAGACAAGGCTGTCTACTCTCCAACCGTCCTTTTTCTTCTGGTGACTAATTGGATTATGAAAACCTCGACATTTGAGGGGATGCACAGAATACAATGGACATCTCAGAATCAATTAGACGATTTGGACTTCGCAGATGACTTAGCCCTCAAATCCCATACACTCAGTCAGTCAGTCACAACGTAGAACTTCGTACGTACGTACATCAGTTCGAGTTGCCACACTAAATTAGCACAGAGATGAAGCTGTCGATTCAAATCCTATAGTGGTAGAAGTAGTAAGAGTATAAGCATTATGTGAAAGATTAGGGTTTGAAGATGTTATTGAAGGAGTATAATACAGTGAAATAAATTTGGAAAGAGAAAAAGGATACGGACATGAAGAATTCAGAAGATTAGAATTTCGTAGAACACAAAGAGTGGATGCACCTTCGCCATTGCAAACGATTTTGAGCCATGTCATTCAAGGTCTCTAACCATCGGTTGCTAACATCTCGCGGATGCCAACCAGGTAGTCTACACCTACCAACATGGCTCAGTCCACTTGTCAGTGACTTCATGGATCTGTGCCACGTCTTGGTCTGGCCGCCCCTAGCTTTCTTCCAACCTACTCCTACACCATGGAACATTACACGTCGAGGCATTCGGTGGTTGGGCATACGTAACACGTGTCCCAGCCATCTCAACTGATGAAGTTTCACTACTTCATCAATCGATTTGCCATCATTACCTAGCACCTGTTTCCTTACAACTGCATTACTTACCAGGTGGTCCCAGGACATACGATCAATGCTTCCAAGACACCTATGATCGAATACTAGTAGCCTACGAATGTCCTCTACTCTTACCGGCCATGTTTCACTGCCATAAAGTAAAACACGGCAAACTGCTGCGCAGTAAATCCGTCCTTTGGTTGCTAGACGGATATCTCGCCTACGCCATAAATGAAGCGAGTTGGAAAAAGCTAGACGAGCCATCTGTATCCGTGCTGAGATTTCGTCACACACCAGACCACAAGGGCTGATGAGACTCCCAAGATAAGTGGAGCGGTCAACACGCTTAACTACTTCACTCCCAATCATTAGTTCGAGTGTCGATGCAACCCAATCCGGAAGTAACATTTTGCATTTTGAGGGAAGAATCGCATCCCCAACATGCCTGCATTGTTGCTTATAGTGGTCAGAAGACTGCACCTTGTCAGCATGTTCACCGAATAGAAATATGTCATCGGCATATCCTACGTCAACAAGTGAGTCTCCTGGTAGAAGTTCAACTCCTGGAGATTTAGATGAAGAAAGTGTTATCTTTAAAAGCATGTCAACGACAAAGTTAAACAAGAATGGAGAGAGTGGACAGCCCTGACGAACACCACTTGAGGTAATCAATTCTGATGACTGTTCGCCATAAGCTCTAACTCGACCAATTGTGTTCGAGTAGAGAGTCTATAAGGTTAATGTACTTCTTTGGTACTCTCTTCAATGACAAACACTGCCATAGGACCTCACGATCAACAGAGTCAAATGCCGCCTTAAGGTCGGGAAATACTACTATGAATGTGTGTTCATGACGTAGAGTGAATATCTGGTCTATGCAACCACGTCCAGGTCGAAAACCAGCCTGGTTTTCTCTAGTCTGCTCTTCACGAGCTTTGGTTAGGCGCCTAAGTATTATTGAAGCTAATATTTTAGACACTATATTAGTCAAACTGATCCCTCTGTGATTGTCACAGGAGGACTTTTGTCCTTTCTTATAGACTGGCACAATCAGTGATTGGGACCAGCCAGATGGAATTACGTCCAGTTCCCAGATTCTACCTAAGACTTCAGTCAATCTCGCTGCTAGTATTGGACCACCATCCTTAAAAATCTCAGGAGTAAACCTGTCAGGGCCTGCTGCTCTCCCTCGCTTTAGATTTTCTATAGCTTTTTCAACCTCGCAGAGGGTTGGAGGACTTACATCAATTCGCCATTCAGGACGACTGGGGATCGTGGGTAACTGAAGTGTGGCTGAAGGCCAGTTGAACTGGTCCCTAAAGTGTTCTGCCCATCGATCCAATCTCCTGGATTGAGAATGAATGATATGTCCATCTTTATCTGAGATGGTTTCACTGATACTTGGGTCCCTAATACCGGTTTCTTTAATGAGTCTGAATAGCTGTCTACTGTTACCTATTGCCGCTGCCTTTTCCATCTCTCTTGCTTTCGCTACCCACCACTGTTCGCGATCAATGCATAGGCTTCATGTTAGCCTGTGCTTAAGCTGACTCCCCTCTTCGTTATGTTCAGAGCCAGATGAGATGAGTTTTCGAGCATCTATCAGTACGGTAGATACTGCTGAGATCCAGCGTTTCTCCGTAACACTATGGTTTGCCGTACTAGCAGATATCACTGCTGTTTCCACAGCTTTTCGGATGTCATTCCACGCTGCCTTGGGGTGGGTACAGCTTACAGAGCTGCCTAACTGCTTTTCCAGTTGTTTCTGAAATATATTCTTAGCTTGCTTATCATTAAGTAGGACCCTTGGAGGCTTCCCCGCAGTGTCTTTCCTACGTCCAGTAACACGCAGACAGATACGAGCTCGCGCTAGAGCATGATCTGAGTCTAAACATGTGCTCCAGAATGAGTGACACTCTTCTATTGAGCCCCTCCATCGGAGGCTGATAGCGATGTGATCTAGTTGGGTCCAAAGTTGGGACGAATCCGGGGGTTGCCATGTCGAAAGGTGTTTTTCCTTATGCTTAAAGTTGGTATTTGCAGGAAATAGGCGGTTATCTGAGCATAGCTGCAACAGACGGTCGCCATTATCTGTTCTTTTAGCAACGAAACCGTAAGATCCACCCAGGTGTCTTTCCCTTTCACTTAGTTTACCTACTTGAGCATTAAAGTCACCTGCCACTAAAGTACTAGACTTTCAACAAATAGGACACTGATATAAAGGTTATTCTCCTTCACAGCTTAAGAGTACTGGATCTAAATCTCAGAAGAAACGGAAAACTCTGAATGCTGGTACATCCACCTAACGAGTTCCAAATACGATAAGATGTACATCCTGGTTTCAAATGCGTAAGAAAACCATTGAAATTATAAAGCGATCTGAGTTAGGCCACCAAAAAAAACCTGGAAGCATTGGACGGCTGTTTCATAATGTGACTCCTTAGGAGTGAGAATTCACGATCCCATACGCGTAGATCGAACCCAGCGCCTTCGGTTTCGCTTAACCTATAGACCAATGAGACGGTATTCAGTGGCGTAAAAGTCTAATTTCAGCCGGTCCATGGCATCACGCGAATATCTTTCACTGTCTAAAGTAGGTAACTGTCTCATATCCGACACAGATTAGTTTCATCGGTCACAGCTCTTCACTAGAACTCCGAAGATTTCCTCTGACAACTAGTCACTATTAAGCACATTATGATTTTCTGTATGGGGTCGTGAAGATTGCTGAATTTCATTGTTGGTGGTCTAAATAAGAACGGTTTATGATTTCAGTGAAATTCAAGAATCGCCACAACCCCATACTGAAAATCTGTAGGAAAAAATTTAGATTTTTAAAAACTAATTATAGTCTATCAAAACAAAATTATGAAGCGGTCTGTAAACTAACATAAACCAAGCTACTAATAGATTCTATATAGCAGTTGTCCATTAGGTGTTAGTTTAATTATGAAATCCTTCAAACTATGTTCAAATCCAAAGCTTTGAGTAAATAAACTAATTGAGTGGGAATGTGATATGTATCTCCGATTGCTGCTGACTTATTTATGCCCTATGTTGATTCGTAGATTTTCGCCAGTACCATTAGACGAAGTATCTGGCTCAGATATATAGATAACAACACATTTGTCATCATTAAAAAGACTCTCCTTAGATATTTCTCCATACTAATAAACACTTTTTCAGATCACATAGAACTCACTTTCGGAATGGAAGATAAGTATAAACAACTACCATCATTAGGCTGTATGTTTAAAATGAATTTTAGTGGAAATCTAAATTTAGCCATATACTGAAAACTAGAACATTCAGATCGCTACATTGATTTCAATTCTGCACATCCATTCGGTGCAAAAATTTTCACTAGTACAAAATCTGTTCAGAAGAGTAACCAGGACCATTACCTCAAAAGATAAGCTAACAGACCACATCTTTGTGTCGTTATTTTGTTATTAAACTGCTATTAGTTATCCTATATCTTACGAAATTAATGAAATAATATTTCACGAAGCGTGCATCACTAAACTAATTATGAGAAATCTCAATTTCTATACGGTTCGAAGATTACCAATATGATTCATTAATGAAACAATTAAAGATGAGTTGATGCAAAATACAAAAGATCTATATGATATTTTGATAACAATTAGAAATTTGACTGGTTTCTATGCAAACCTTATTTAATTACTATCACTTTTCAGGAAAAATCTAGTATCATTATGACAGCAGCATATAAACCATAATGACTTCAAAATGATTGGGATAAATGAGAATATTATATGAACAAGATTAGTCTAACTTCCTAATGAAAACATACAATGCAGCATATATCTTAATTAAATATAAATACACCATAATAAACAAACCGAAAAACTTGAAAAAGAATAGCAAAACAGCTTAATTACTTGGATTTATCGATAGTTGTTTGGTTAGATATTTCAGAAACGCGAGTTAAAACATTTTGGCTAACCGGTGTCAATTGAGGATAAGTTACTTGGTGACTTGTTATATATTTTTTTATTCTATTTAACTTTTTAAGAAATTGAGGGGATTGAGTCATTAAGCGTTGGTTGGTACTCGAAGCCAACTCAGTATTCTGCCTTCCGACATAAGTATTCAATTCAGTCATGGGATTACGGGTTTCGGTGAAGTGGGATTGAGTTATAGAAGTCTGAATAACATGTCATAATCGAACTAAAATAGAGCTTACAGAATAATCAGGATTAACATGTGATTCAAGATGAACTATTGGATTAGAGCATTTTTCTGGTTGGTAGTTGCTTTCGGGAGAACATGATTCTAAAAAGAAAAAGAAAAAGCACTCAAATCGTACTACTCTACAGAATGTGATACATAACTAACAAAAATTTATCACCGAAGAGGAAACTTGATGAAAATTTATTTACCGTAAGTCAGTCACTGGAAAGAAAAGTCCATAACAAGCAACTACATGTAGATTTATGCAAAAGGTCGTGAACCTAATATATTAAGTAAGGATTACTGATACTTCGATATCTCAATAGAATGGTTTAAGAGCCATGATCCAATGGTAGAGAGTTGACTAACTAGACATGTGAATTGCAGCTTAACAAAATTAACAAGTGGAAGGAGATAACACAAAGATAGTTATCATTATTAGGCTCACTCAACTTTACTTATAATAAATTTTTAGGAAAGTTGTATAAAGTATCTCTGTTGAGGAAATCACTAATTATGAATATAAATGAAGTTTTTCGCCGTAAAGAGAAGCTCCTAATCAAGACATTAGTTAACAACTTTTGAAAAAAACCTTAAAAAAATACTTGAATCATTTCGTTATGACAATTGAAAATTGCAAATCCTATCCACTAGAATCCTACATAATTCATCTTCAGCAGAGATTCAATCCAAAAACTTTTATGCACGTATAGCACATCAGTTGTAACAAATTATCAACTAAAAAGTCACGTAATAATAGTGTGGTGAACGAGAACACAAGTGGGGACGATTGGATGTACTTGAACACAAAATCACAGATCATCTTAGTAAAACCTGAGAACCACACCGCAAATACTTTATTTGTAAAATGTCAGTCAACTGTCTCAAACCTGACTGTTCCTTCAGCAATTATCAGTCAATCGTCTCAGACTTTCGATTCACTTTCGATTGATGATACATATTATTTATATCTGTCGACATCAGTAGCACACACAACGATAGCATCGAGAGTACAAATATTATTTATCAATATACCTAGTGGTATGATATAAAACTAATTGTAACATCGAAATTTTTCTATAAAAGGAAGCTAAGATTAGAACACAAAACAGTACACTACAAATTTATTTTTTCATATCAAATTATCAATGGACATAGGTAAATAAATTCAGCAAAAAAGATATTCGCTTGTAACAGACCACAATAAATCTGTAGCTTAACTCATAAGTGAACCTAATATAATACAATAAAACGAGTGTTTTAAGTTATCCAGCATGAACCAAAACAAGTATTTTCTTTAGACTGAATTTTAACTCACACTAACAATATATAAAAATGATTAAAAAATCCCGACTAATGATAATGAAGAAACCGATTAGCTTATCTCGAAGAGGATTGGCCGATTCAAGAGATGGGTGGTACAAGTATTTTGGGCTTTTATCCCAACCCTATGAAAAGAAAATTATATATACCACGCAGTTTTTTAGAACCCTAAACTGATAATGATGATGCAATTGTGCGCGAGCAAATTAATTAGTTAACATATGTAGTGAATGACAGCTTTCTTAAGAAATGATACGTATGAGAAACAAAATTAAAGACAGATTCTAATTATAGTATATTAAAAACAAACACTAGAAGATATTATATATATTGCTCTAAGTGACTAGAAGAATATGCATCTGATTGAAATTAACTAACAAGACTATGTTGTCTGTATACCTTTATGTTATAAATTCCTGGTTATGATGAATTGCTGTTTTTTGTCAGAAGTAAATCCACGACAGATGATGTGGAAAGTCCCTTAACCATCTCACAGCATATTCCCAAGTGGTTGTATTCACACAGAGTTACACCAATAACATTTACCATTTTGGTACACTTTTGTTAGGAAACTCTGGGACAATAATTGCCAAATGGGACCAAACATACCTTATATGTCAAGGAATAAAGTGAGTTAAAGCATATAAAGTAATCATTTGTGTCATAATTTGCCATAGAATGAAGACCTAACCAAAGACTTTTCAGTTGAACTGGAAGGATATCTAGTACTCACTTAGGACTCAAAGACTTTTGATTCCAAAGTTTTAAATAATTGATCAAACAAGTAAATTATTCCTTGATCACTGTGTAGTCAAGGCTGACTTTCGTACTTCAATTATCACTTTAGCCTACACAATAATCATCGGTCAACGATTTTTGGATAATAGACACGACAAAATATAATAGAAACAAAATTTGGAAATATATCGAAAGCTGAAAGCAAAGAAAGTGCTTACTCGACTAGACATTTCAAGAATCAGGGACAAACGTCTTGTAGTTCAAAGAAGGCGGATATTCAGAACAAGAAGAAGCAGAAGTCCGCATATTCATCAAGGTTTTTCATTTATGGTAGTCTTCAGGATTGTGGGTAGGTTTTGTGGTTTTAAACATATTCTAAGCATATGTTACAAAAGCCTGAACTGCGACAGTTATTAGATTTAGGATCGAACAGATTCCTTAATACAGAGGCACGTCTTGTAATCTGTGTGGATTAAACCTCGCTGATATATTCATTAAGATTAATAAGCTTGCAAGTCAAAAGTGTGATGAAAAGAAGTCAGAAACTAATGTTCCTCCTGAAATATCCCATAGTTTCACAAACTAAGGATTGGATTAAAAGTGTATGATAGTGAAGCATGTGATGTCCAGACAAGGCAAATTCGATCGTCATCTGGAGTAAAGTACTGCAGTCCAATGCGAACTATTGGTAGTTTGGAACCAAGAAACATTTGCAACCTCAGTAGAAGTAGCACATGCCTTATTGTCAGATATATGAGGAAACAGGGTTTAAAGCAGGTTGGGGTTATAACTTCATGTAGCTGCATGTCCTTTAAGTAACTTACACAACAAATTTCACTTTTACTTACTATACCAAAACTGTTTGATATTAATTAATCATATGAGACAAAATTTCGACATCGTAAGTAGGCCAAATAACAATAGTACAATAAGTACAAACATACACAACTAAAATAAGAGCGATACCACTTGTACACATTCTCCAAAAAAGTGAACTAGGATTCACTGACTAAGGAATTCGGCTTCAGCGGCTAAACGAGTGAGCTTAAGGTCCTCCATCCATTGTTTCACACTTTGGTGATTTTCACTGTGCCGAATCAAATTCAAAGTTTGAGTAACGCTAGAATTCTTGATACTGGAGGATTATATGAGCTAAAGTAACTTACAAAATTGACCGGGTTCAATGACTTATTACTGCATTGTAAATTCAGCTAATGGCCAACCAGGCTTTCTAGTTAATCAATAACCCTGGAAATAGCTCGATCTAAAGCTTCGTTTCATTGCTTGATGAGAACTTCAAAAACGATTTTGAGAAAACAGGTGCAGTTAACAACCTCACCTAAAACTGCCTGTTATTTCGTATGCATGACGTTAAGGATGAAACGTCTCGTCTAAGGTTGTTTTGATCACCAAGACACGGAGTTTGTTTTGAAACTAGTTCCTTTGGCAAGTTTTATTCGATGCATGTATATAGACATCAAATAAAAAGAATTTGCATGGTACATGTGACACCACAAAGTCTTAGTTGCAAGTACTGGCAACTAGAAGGTTTTCAAAATTTTTTAGAAACAATATTAAAGTATACATTTTCATTTAAAACGAAGACACATACTTTAATACATGTGAATTTTCAAGAAATCAATTTCTGACGTCAAAAAATATCTAATAAATACGACTAAGTAACTTCAAGGTACAACTTTAGTCTATTAAACGGATTTAAAGTAATTAAAACGCTCAACCAGTATTCGAAGTATCAGTCTTTCAAAAAAAGAAACTCAAAAAGACGACCCGACGATTGGACTTCTCATTTACGTGCGGTATAATAATATTACAGATCATTTTAAACTTTTAAACAACAATATGATTAGATCCAGTTTCTGAGAACTAGGATTCCCTTTTTTAAATTTCTGAAACTATCCATACTGTTAAAAAAAGCCTGCCTACAAATAATCAGAATAGTCCGAATGTGAAAACCTAATTAAAGCAGTGGTCACAGTGCGTTTCGCGCAATTTATCGATGCTTGTAATGAGACAAGAAGTTAGTATGCACCGTAATAAATGCCTATGCATACTTACCATAAACTTGGAGTGTCTTTTGAATTAAAGCAAGAAACGTTTTATGAAATTGAGTAGGTTGATAAAACTAAACTTAGAAAAGTCGATGTACCATGCAAAGTACTAACCAGGGTTAGGAAATGTGGAAACTGAGACAACTCCAAGACCACTATTTGTGTTTAAATCAAACCTGCAACTGTCTGCTAGTTTAGCAGAAGGCAAATGTTTGTCCGAACGTTTCTTGCCATTGTGATTGAAACGCCTAAATGGACTGAGAAACATATGCGCCAAACGTTTTTGCTTTGTGGAAATGTTTGATACACGACTATCGGAATGAAAGACTGTGTGAGCTGCCATAGTCAACTAAAAAGAAACAGTAACGCCACTTTCGTAAAAAGACACTAGGCCGTTTTTATGTCCAATTTATTTGTGAAAGTTGGTTTCAAATTATAAAACGAACATGATTATGAATGACCCCTAGAATGTTCTGAGATGAAGTCATTAACTTGTTGTTTTTTGAGATCTTCGTCTTCGTTGTACGTAGGAGGTTCTAATTACCGATAAGCATATATTTTGTTCGTCTCATAAAACTAGGAGGAAAGTAAATATTGGTAAGTTATAAGTGTTACGACAAAACAGTTAATCCAGGTATCACCTACAAAAACATTGAAAATATAGCAAATTTAGAGCCTTGTTGCAATCAAATAAGTAGTTTCTGTTACTATCTTCTGAGGTAGTTAATACTTTAGTTTACTGATCGCAAACATGAAATGGTCACACATATTCCTTGCTTGATAGCTCGGTAGTCCGTAATACGTATGTAATCGAATATATAGTTACAGGAGTTTGAAGATATATTTGGAAGGTGAGTCGCAAAGAATGACACATGAACCGACTAGTGGCTGTGAGGATCCCATACCACGGTGTACCTAATCGTGATCTAAAGATGATGTTTGACGGAACACATTCAGCTAAGATTTGTCAGTAAAACTAATTATGTCGGCATCAGTCGTGAAGAACCACTTATTTCAAGGACTTGGGAGACAGGGCGTATCATACTAGCGTTCCAATCCCAATCAGAATGAAGCAAGAGCAATCGTTTCTGCCATCTTTGCAAGCAATGACGTTCGGCATGCCTCGTTCTGTGTTTTTCCGACAGCTTTTTAGTGTTCCTGCAGTATTCAGTCTTTCGAGATGCCAAAATCCTGTAATTTATGTGGTGATCTAGATGCTCACGCTCATTTTTTCGAATAACTTGGTTTCCTCGGTTTTCACTACGATTAATACTCACGTCGGTACATTCCTTCCGAAGAGTTTATGTGTTTTATGTTACAGAATTTTAATACATTTTATTTTAAGTATTTTCTTGTATATATCGGACATTAGTGCAATTGTTTTTCCACCTAAGATCAATGTTGCTGCAACATGGGATTTTCCAACCTTCCGGACCAATACTGAGTGTTCAGCTATGGTTACCAGATATATATATATATATATATATGTTAGGTTTGATAGACCAGTGATCTGACAATCTAAGACCAAGTAGAGATGCTGTCGAACTCTTGAAAAATGTTGGTTATTGAAAATATACCATATAACATTTTTACATGGAATGGACCCATCACATGTTGCGTGAAGGCAAGCTGAAAGAGGAAAGTTCCGAAAACCGCTATCATTGTATGTAGCTTTGTTGTTTAGGCCATTAGAGGAAGCCGGAGGGTCACAGTCAGAGAGTAAATGGGAAAAATAATTATTATACTTACTTCTTTATACATCAAGGTTTACATGTTGTTTAGCCATGTTTCGCTTGGTGTATGATTTTTACATCACCAACGTCGATGATCTGTGTCGGATGCTTGAGGTCTACTCGAGTTAGACGAGAATAGTGTGAATGACAGCTAACTTCAAAGTCACACCCCACGGTAAGTACCTTACGTTGATTACACTCTCGTCGAATCCAGGTGACCGTACAACGCAAGCGATGTTATCACAAAAGTATGTTAGCAGGAGTGTGTTCAAGAAACAGAGTGCGACCATCATCTCATGGGTCCGTCAATGGTGTGCAATTAACTGATGAGCGTTAGTTGTACTTGACCTTGACGAGGATAGGTGGACTCTTCTATATTCGGTGATATAACTGCTGGATGAATTGACAAGAACCTATTGACATTACATTGGCACTACAATATCATCCGGTACACAATAGCTTCAGCATGCCTCGTTCTGTGTTTTTCCGACAGCTTTTTAGTGTTCCTGCAGTATTCAGTCTTTCGAGATGCCAAAATCCTGTAATTTATGTGGTGATCTAGATGCTCACGCTCATTTTTTCGAATAACTTGGTTTCCTCGGTTTTCACTACGATTAATACTCACGTCGGTACATTCCTTCCGAAGAGTTTATGTGTTTTATGTTACAGAATTTTAATACATTTTATTTTAAGTATTTTCTTGTATATATCGGACATTAGTGCAATTGTTTTTCCACCTAAGATCAATGTTGCTGCAACATGGGATTTTCCAACCTTCCGGACCAATACTGAGTGTTCAGCTATGGTTACCAGATATATATATATATATATATATATATATATGTTAGGTTTGATAGACCAGTGATCTGACAATCTAAGACCAAGTAGAGATGCTGTCGAACTCTTGAAAAATGTTGGTTATTGAAAATATACCGCTATCATTGTATGTAGCTTTGTTGTTTAGGCCATTAGAGGAAGCCGGAGGGTCACAGTCAGAGAGTAAATGGGAAAAATAATTATTATACTTACTTCTTTATACATCAAGGTTTACATGTTGTTTAGCCATGTTTCGCTTGGTGTATGATTTTTACATCACCAACGTCGATGATCTGTGTCGGATGCTTGAGGTCTACTCGAGTTAGACGAGAATAGTGTGAATGACAGCTAACTTCAAAGTCACACCCCACGGTAAGTACCTTACGTTGATTACACTCTCGTCGAATCCAGGTGACCGTACAACGCAAGCGATGTTATCACAAAAGTATGTTAGCAGGAGTGTGTTCAAGAAACAGAGTGCGACCATCATCTCATGGGTCCGTCAATGGTGTGCAATTAACTGATGAGCGTTAGTTGTACTTGACCTTGACGAGGATAGGTGGACTCTTCTATATTCGGTGATATAACTGCTGGATGAATTGACAAGAACCTATTGACATTACATTGGCACTACAATATCATCCGGTACACAATAGCTTCAGCATGCCTCGTTCTGTGTTTTTCCGACAGCTTTTTAGTGTTCCTGCAGTATTCAGTCTTTCGAGATGCCAAAATCCTGTAATTTATGTGGTGATCTAGATGCTCACGCTCATTTTTTCGAATAACTTGGTTTCCTCGGTTTTCACTACGATTAATACTCACGTCGGTACATTCCTTCCGAAGAGTTTATGTGTTTTATGTTACAGAATTTTAATACATTTTATTTTAAGTATTTTCTTGTATATATCGGACATTAGTGCAATTGTTTTTCCACCTAAGATCAATGTTGCTGCAACATGGGATTTTCCAACCTTCCGGACCAATACTGAGTGTTCAGCTATGGTTACCAGATATATATATATATATATATGTTAGGTTTGATAGACCAGTGATCTGACAATCTAAGACCAAGTAGAGATGCTGTCGAACTCTTGAAAAATGTTGGTTATTGAAAATATACCGCTATCATTGTATGTAGCTTTGTTGTTTAGGCCATTAGAGGAAGCCGGAGGGTCACAGTCAGAGAGTAAATGGGAAAAATAATTATTATACTTACTTCTTTATACATCAAGGTTTACATGTTGTTTAGCCATGTTTCGCTTGGTGTATGATTTTTACATCACCAACGTCGATGATCTGTGTCGGATGCTTGAGGTCTACTCGAGTTAGACGAGAATAGTGTGAATGACAGCTAACTTCAAAGTCACACCCCACGGTAAGTACCTTACGTTGATTACACTCTCGTCGAATCCAGGTGACCGTACAACGCAAGCGATGTTATCACAAAAGTATGTTAGCAGGAGTGTGTTCAAGAAACAGAGTGCGACCATCATCTCATGGGTCCGTCAATGGTGTGCAATTAACTGATGAGCGTTAGTTGTACTTGACCTTGACGAGGATAGGTGGACTCTTCTATATTCGGTGATATAACTGCTGGATGAATTGACAAGAACCTATTGACATTACATTGGCACTACAATATCATCCGGTACACAATAGCTTCAGCATGCCTCGTTCTGTGTTTTTCCGACAGCTTTTTAGTGTTCCTGCAGTATTCAGTCTTTCGAGATGCCAAAATCCTGTAATTTATGTGGTGATCTAGATGCTCACGCTCATTTTTTCGAATAACTTGGTTTCCTCGGTTTTCACTACGATTAATACTCACGTCGGTACATTCCTTCCGAAGAGTTTATGTGTTTTATGTTACAGAATTTTAATACATTTTATTTTAAGTATTTTCTTGTATATATCGGACATTAGTGCAATTGTTTTTCCACCTAAGATCAATGTTGCTGCAACATGGGATTTTCCAACCTTCCGGACCAATACTGAGTGTTCAGCTATGGTTACCAGATATATATATATATATATATATATATATATGTTAGGTTTGATAGACCAGTGATCTGACAATCTAAGACCAAGTAGAGATGCTGTCGAACTCTTGAAAAATGTTGGTTATTGAAAATATACCGCTATCATTGTATGTAGCTTTGTTGTTTAGGCCATTAGAGGAAGCCGGAGGGTCACAGTCAGAGAGTAAATGGGAAAAATAATTATTATACTTACTTCTTTATACATCAAGGTTTACATGTTGTTTAGCCATGTTTCGCTTGGTGTATGATTTTTACATCACCAACGTCGATGATCTGTGTCGGATGCTTGAGGTCTACTCGAGTTAGACGAGAATAGTGTGAATGACAGCTAACTTCAAAGTCACACCCCACGGTAAGTACCTTACGTTGATTACACTCTCGTCGAATCCAGGTGACCGTACAACGCAAGCGATGTTATCACAAAAGTATGTTAGCAGGAGTGTGTTCAAGAAACAGAGTGCGACCATCATCTCATGGGTCCGTCAATGGTGTGCAATTAACTGATGAGCGTTAGTTGTACTTGACCTTGACGAGGATAGGTGGACTCTTCTATATTCTGTGATATAACTGCTGGATGAATTGACAAGAACCTATTGACATTACATAGGCACTACAATATCATCCGGTTCACAATAGCTTCATACATTTTGGTTCACAAACATTCTTGCCATATGAAGTATCTAACAAAATTTTCAATATCAATTGTTATTTGTCAAGATTTATCTACTTTTAACGTCGTTCTTACTCCCGCTGTCTGCGTATGGTGCAGTAAACAAGCATTTTATCTTTATTGTTATGTGAAACCACCTTGAGACT